GATTTGGCAGGCTTTGTCCCCTTTGTCAAGGAGGAGTGTGTGCCACAGACCACAGTTAATAGAGGGTGCCAACGTGATTCTYGGGTTTTGTTTTGTGATCTAGTTTTGAGGCTTGAGTTAATTCCTGGGGTTAATTTTCTTCAAGGAGCCCAGCTGTTTTTCAGGTCTGATGTGCGCTCAGGCCAACATACATTCTTTACCCTTCCTGCATTCCTGTCCAAGCATCTTCCTTCTGTTAGCCTTTCATTGAATTAAAAAGAAAATCAGGAAATATTTCAAACCTATAAAACAGTATAGAGAATAATATAAAGAATACCCTTAGATTACCAGTCAACATTTTGTCACCCTTGCTTCTAATTCTGTTCAAGATAATATGGTAGATTCAGCTGATTCCACCTGTATATCCCTGTCTCTTCCCTCAGAGAGAATCCCTGTCTGGAGCTGCGTGTTTTCATACTTCATTCCATATGTATTTACATTCTGTCAATAGCAGATAAAGCCTTGGCTTGCATGTGTTACATTGGGTAAATGTGATATTGATCTGCCCTGTCACTGGTCCTTTTTATTAAATATTATCTTTTTGAGATTTATCAGTGTTGATACATGTAGCATCTGCTTCATTTTATCGGTTGCATGGTATCCCATTTTTATTCTAAAAAAAAATCCATTCTTTTAATCTTCAGTTTGTTTTCTTAGGTGTCTTTGTTTATGTATCTTTTGTGTATCTATTGTTTATGGTATCTTTTGATGTACAGTTTTTACTTTTAAAATGTGGATTCATTTTTTTTCTTTTTGGTTGGGGTTTTTAATATTTTGTTTAAGAAATTCTTCCTTACCCCAACTTCATAAGTATATTATCTAATAGTTTTTTCTATATATTTTGAACTTTTCACTTTTACTTTTACCTCTTTAATCTAACCAAGAATTTATTTTTGAATAGGAGTGTGAGATGAAAAAAATTTTAATTTCTCTTGCACAAATAGCCAGTTGACGCAGCAGTAGTTATTGAATAGCTTATCCTTGCCCTGTCAGTTTGTAGCATTCATTTTGATGATTTGCATCATCCTCTTCTCTGTATTTTATAGTGTCCAGGCACAGAAATGTAAAGTGAAGTCTTGAGCAAAATATCTGAATAATCCCAGCTTGAAATTTGATGCTAAATTTGAATTTTGTCAACCCATGCCTCTATAGGTAGCTCCAACTAGCACACCTTTAAACATGTTAATTTGCATGTATTGTCACTACTGTTGAAGAATACTGAGCATTTATTCTTAAACAAGCAACTAGTGTAAAGGGATCCTTATAATGGTGTTGACTGCTCTACCTCATTATTTATGGATAAGCTCAGACAGTTCCTTTGTTTAGAGACCAGAATCAAAATCAGTCCATCAAACAAGCCAACAGAGCAAAGTACAGACTATTGACAATAAAACCGTATCACAGGACGTGGTTTCCATAAAGGTCTGACACCGACAGCAATTAAGTGAGATTCTTGTGTTGACATCCATGGTCAGTTACACTCCTGGGTTGAACAGTCATGTAGTAGGTCTGCTGTGTGCATGGAGTGTGCTGAATTATGGTACTTTTAAAATGAACATAAGTTAAGGCATTCAAATAAAATCCTTGAAGAAAAATCATTACCTATGAAAATGTAAATGCAGATGGAGAAAACAAAGTCTGAGAGTGACAGGAAGTGCTCACTGATAGTACCCTTTCGGGAACAGATGCCTGGTTCTGGTGATAGTGGGCCAGTATTGGGTCTGAGGTTTTCAAACATCTTTTGTGTTTGGTGACTTGTACACCTAATTGGCATGACACATATGGTGGGACCATCTTGGAGTCTCCTCAGGGCCAGGTGGGCTGACAACCTTTTCTTTATTGCTGTACAGTTCAAAGCAGATGGTGGTATGGAATGCACAAATCCCGCACTCATGCAAAAAGCACTCTGAAGGAGAGGCTCTGTGAACGTTGTCCAATGCTGTGTGTTAATGGTGCACATGGATATACATAGAAATGAAGGTGTGTGTTTGTGTGTGTAGATATGATTAGGTAATGAGTTGTCTGTCAGGGTTTCAATAGAAATGTCAACTTCAATTCAGGGCAGTGTGTGTGTGGGATATGTATATGTATATATATATGGTACATATGTGTGTGTATATCATATATATGTATATTATATATAATATATGTTTGTATTATATAGTATATATCTCTGTGTGTTTATATATAGAGACTCATGTACATAATGCTAAGTGCATGAAATATGAAATATTTTATCCAGTTAACAYCATCTTTTCTTCATAGTTTGGCACACACCGAATAAAAGAAAAGGGCTACAGCAGAGAGGAAGGCATTTTAGCCCCAGCCTGTGGGAATTAGGGTGAGGATATCTAACTTTGCAGTGAGAAGTGTTTGTAATTTTAGAAATAGCACGTTGGTATGTGTTTGATGTGCTGTGGGATGATAACTCTAATTCTCTGCATGGTGCAGGGAGAGTATCCTAACAGGAAAAAAGGCCTAGTTAAGAAACAGAGGAAGGATTTGTCTTTTGAAGAACTGGAAAAGTCAGCCTGCAGACAGGACCCTGCCAGTCTTGACAGTATTGTGTGTGTGTGTGTGTGTGTGTGTGTGTGTGTGTGTGTGTGTGTCTGTGTGTCTGTATCTGTCTGTCTATTGGGGAAAGGTACTGGGAGATTGAATCCAGAGGCTCTCTACCACCGAGCCACACCCCAAGCCCTTTTAATTTTATTTTGAGACAGGGCCTTCATAAGTTGCCCAGGCTGGCCTTGAACTTGTGATCCTCCTGCTTCAGCCTCCTGAATCACTGGGGTTACAGGCCTGCACCATCWCTCCTGCTCCATGGCAATAAACTTTTGAAGAAGGAAAGAAAAAGGCAGGAGATGAAATTGTTTATAATTGAGAGGACTTAATATGTGCCAGACAGTGTACAAGGTGCTGTGTACATGTCCTCTAACTCTGTGTTCCTGAAAACGCTGTGATGCATGCACAGCATTGTTAGCTCTGCTATACAGTTGGGAATATGGAAGGACAGGGAATTCGAGTCATTTGCTCAGGGTTCTGTGGCCACCCCAGATCCCCATGACCTGAGAATAGAAGACAGGGATGAGTGACAAGAAAGAATTATAAGAATCTTACTTCCATTCACACTTGATAAAAGAAATGGATCAGCTACCACATTACAGATTACACTTAAAAGTCTCAAATTTTTACCTTAAGTGAATTGGGCACATTTTGTTTTGTCCTGGTTTGCTTTAGTTTTGCTCTACAATCCTGAACATTCATCATCCTGTAGACCTCCTGGTAAACATTTTACCTCCTGTCGCTTCCAATTAAGACTTCTCCATTTGTAAGAGTTTCCCTCACTGCAATTTTTGGGAGGTTCTACTTGCAGTGTGATAATCTCCAGTTAGGAAGTGAACCTAAAGGGGGRAAGTGAAAACAAAACAGCCCACTGTTTCTGCTCATGACTTACTCCCTCTGGAAGGAACAATCATGGATGCCATCTGCGAGTGGCTGCAGAGAGACCTCCCTGTATGGAGCATTTGTGGGAGATGTTAGGGCCCTCTGGGGACTGAGTCTGGGAACACTGGGACTCTCAAGAATAAGCCATTCCACAGGAGTCCCTGCATGGGGCTGGAAAAGTTCTTACAAGAGAACTATTAGGTACATTTTTCCCAGAAATGTACAATCAGGATTGTGCTTGGATATTATGGTGATTAAGATGATAGTAACCCAACCTTCTGCACTTGGAGATCTTCTTAAAAGAACACAATCCAGGCTGCTCTTTCTCATAGTCCACTTCTAGCCATATTCTGTGTGGTCGACATTATGAGTTCACAGCAAAGTCTGATAGGACAAATGTCCTCCTGATTCAACCTTCTCTAGAGGGTGTCTGATATGACATCGAACAAGGCCCATAGAAACACCAGGGAGAGGTACGTTTTCCCTGGAGAGTTTTTCTTTCCTCTTTAACAAATGAGGAAGATGAAATTGACCTAATATCTTTTTTTTATTTGGATGCCTAAAATCTCACAACCAATCTGAAGCTTCTCAACTACAGCTATTCTGGCTTCAGAATCTGTGCATTATTGTTCTTTCTTTTCTTTTTTCTTTCTTTCTTTCTTTCTTTTTTTTTTTTTTTTTGGTACCAGGGATTGAACACAAGTGTGCTTAACAGCCACATCCCCGACCCTTTTTATTTTGAGACCAGGTCTTGCTAAGTTGTTTAGGGCCTTGCTGAGTTGCTAAGGTTGGCCTTGAACTTGTTATCCTACTGCCTCAGCCTTCCAAGCCTCTGGGATTACAGGTGTGTGTGCCACCATGCCTGGCTGTGTTCTTTCTTTAGCATAAGCTTTCTGCTCTGATTTATCTTTCCCTAGAACCTAATTAGTTATTTTCTTGTATTTACCTTGGTCGAAGATAACAGCAACTAAATGAATTAGTAAACATAAAGCTTTGACTCAAACCAGACATAAAACAAGTGTTCTACTTTGAATTTCCAGCGTTACAGTGCTGACTTGAAGAGAACAAAAAGAGACAATTCCTTCTTCCCCCATTTTGACAGCTTTAAGCTTTACATTTTCTTCCTTTTCTGTGAGACATCACACACTTGCTTCTCAAGGCCATTCCCACATGTGTGTCTTGTAGAATCGTGACTTGGGACATTGTGGTCAGAGCACAGTCACACACACTCACTCGATGTTTTTATCCATTGCACGTTTGATAGCTCTTTTATTCTATATATTCCCGCAGCACTTACAACCATTTATCAAAGAATTAGAAATTCTTATCTGAATAAAAAAATTCACACAGACATACAACTAGAATAATTGTTGTGTCCTTTTTTTTTTTTTGGTTAGGAGTTGGTTTCTTATTCTTAAATTCAGGATTGGGCATGGTTTGAATTAACTTGTTTATTTTCAATAGAGATTTCAGGCTTCCATTTGAACTTAGGAATGAAGCGTTGTTTTCCATTCCAGATAGGACTGAACTCTACATCTCCCTTCCCAAGCAAACAGCTGGCCGAAGCCACCAAGACTCTGCTGGATAGTCTCGGGAGTCTGGCCCAAGAGGTAAGTCGTGCCTTCCTAGCACCAGCAAGTGGACCATCCACTGTGGTCAGTTCCAAGTTTGGCTAAGAGGGTTCTTTAGATTGGAATATCATGTTAGATGCCTTAATGTCAATTTTAGAAATATAAGTGATCAAAAAACATCATCTGTTTTAATCTTCTTACTTTAGAGACGAAGAAACCAAGACTCACTGATGTCTCAGAACTAATTAGTGGCTAAAGGGTCCATAACTAGTCTCGAACCCACCCTCTTATCCCCACCCCATCCCCTCAGTCCCTGATAGTCACACACTTGTGAAGAGAATTCTTTCCAACCTGCATACACTGCTTTTGTCTGACCAGAAACTTCTCTATCTCTACACTGTGTATTCAGAAGCAAGATCCTTCAGTCATTTTATCAAAATGTGTTTGCTAATAATGAGATCATGAGCTATCTCTAATCCAGCTCTTTCCCTTATAAAATATGCGCTCTGAGCTTCAACTTGGGGAATATGGTCTCTTAAGGAACATTTAGTTGATTTGGCCTTTTAGGTCCACACATTGACAGATGTGTCAGAGTAATCTTTGTCCTAGGACCATAGGGCCTATAGATGTTGCAAAATAGTTAACCCTTCTTCTGATTCTCAGTTTCTGACTCCCAGGCTCAGTTCAAGTTAGATTGGGCAAGGAAGAGCTGTTTGGAGCCATCATGCCTAGTGGCCGAGCTGGGCAGTGGTCATCAACAATGTAGGCTTTAATGTATAGGACATAGGAAAAGAGTAATATGTGGAGAAATTTTCTCAAACTTGGTCCGGTCTTGTTTTTAGCTGTCTTTGACTCATTTTTAAAAATACTGGGACCATTTTTTCAAATATCATAATTGATGTTTTCAGACAATAACAGTATTGCATGTTCATTGTGGAAAATACAGAAAACCCCCGAGTAACCACATGCCAACCCTTTAATATATGTCTTTCTTTTAATTCTGCCCATGTGTCTCTGACAGCAGAGGCTTGGCTTTCGGACCAGCCTCCTTTTAGGAGCATCCCTCTTCCCACTTGTTATTCGCACTTTGGTTATGAAGGCTGGTGACCTTTGGCTAGGTGGAAAGGYTGTGCCAACTGGGGCTCTTCCAGGAGACAGAAAGAGAAAGAGAAACTGCTCTGCAAGCCTCAGCTGTTTCCCCAAGGCCCTCTTGATGGACGTGGACATGCCCTGCTTTGCTCTGGCAGGTTCCTTCACAGCCCTCCTCTACCCTGTTCATTCCTGTCCGTAGAGAAAGCAGAGCAGGGGTAGTAACAGGGAGGCTGCCTCGAAACTCAGGGTTTGTTACAGGTGTTTTCATTTACATCACTGGCCCTAGTTTTTGTCTAGGGTAAAAAAAAATAGTTGGAAACACATGATGTTCCGATTGCTGATGTGGTGTCAACAGCCGAACGATGTGCATTTCCCTTGGCAGCTGCTTCCTGGGCTCTGCTTGCTCTGGTCTAGGATAAGTGAGGGCCACCTGCTTCTCTTAATAGAACACCTTCAAGTCACTTTGATCACAAGTTATTCATTGTCTAACTTGCTATTTCTGTGAGACAAATGGAAGAAGATAAAAAAAAAATGCACTTCTGTGTTTGGTCAATGCTTGGAAAGAAGGTTAGTTATTTTCACCAAAACACTAGCCTTGAAAGAAAAAAAGAAAAAGAAAAAGGGAGCCTGCATATTTTGAAGATCTGCTTTGGTTCAGGCATTTTTACTTTATTTCCCTGGATGATCCACATGACAAATGTTAGGTGGATTTTTTTTTTTTTTTTTTTTGGTACCAGGGATTGAATCCAGGGACACTTAGCCACTGAGCCACATCCTCAGTCTTTTTTATATTTTATTTAGAGACTGTGTCTCAGTGAGTTGCATAGGGCCTTGCTAAGTTGCTGAGGAGGGCTTTGAACTTGCAATCCTTCTGCCTCAGCCTCCTGATCTGTTGAGATTACAGGTGTGCACCACCACGAGCAGCATCAGGTGGATCTTCTTGTACCCATTATACAGTTATGGAACCRAGGCTCAGAAAAATGAGGCAACTTTCCCAAAGTTGCCCAGTGAGTTAATTTCAAAAGTGAAATTTGAATCCAGGATTGTTGGATTCCAAAGCTCATGTTCTCATTTGTTCCTTTCTATTTCAAGAATTTGTCACAAACCTTGATAGTAACTAAGATGGAAAGGAGACTCTTCAAAGAAGGAAGATTTTCATTAGCAGACGTGGCAGTTGGGGGACTTTAGGAGTGAGACGTGTTGGGACTGACATGAATTTCACACCTGGGTGATGGGGAAGGTGTGCTGGACAAGAATGAGAAAGCAGGACAGAGAAGTGGTGTCTCAGACACCCGCACGGTACCAGTCAGGTGCTTGGCATTGCTAGATGTTGGGGACTCAGTAGTGAACACAGTAACTTCTCTATCCTCAGGGATTTGTATGGGGTGGGAGACAGAAATAATCAGGTCAGTGTGCAGTGTGACAGCAGGGATATGTGCAAGAAGATAAATCAGGGCAAGGGGCATAGAGAGCGATGAGGTGCCACCTGAAAGGGAGTGATGAGGATGGGTGGGGGGACTATCTGCAGGAAGAAGAGCAGATGCTAAGTACCTTGACTCCAGGGCATGCGTAAGCCCTTAAGGACCTGTTTAAAGACCAGGAAGGAGATCAGTGTGGTTAGAAAAACATGAGCTAGTGGGAGGGTGACCAGAGATGAGATGACAGAAGCAGTTGGGATTTTCACCACTCGAGATGGGAAGCCAGTGGAGGGTTTGGAGCAGAGGGGGCTGTGGTGTGACCTGGGGTTTATAGACGTCTTTACACCCTGACTGCCGGTCTGAGAAGAGACTGGGGCTGGGGCAGGGAAGAAAGAACACCTTGCCATGGATTGAGAAAGGAGGAAGTTGGTGGCTCGTTCATTCATTTGGGATGGTTATCAAACACTGTCAGTTACTACTGCCATCTGTGGGCTGGAGGACGAGTGGCCACCCTCCCTGTGAGTCAGCAGGTAGAGGAGGATGAGCAGGAGTCTGCCCCTAAGGCAAGTGCTGGGAAAAACCAACAGTTTGGAATAACTCAATAGTTACTCCATCTTTGTCTCCAAAGATGGGCTGGCTTTTTGTGGGAAGCATTTTGTTCTTGAGGTTGGAGGTGGCAGTGAGGCAGCCTGTGGAAAGCTCAGTCAATGGCTTTGATTCCTTGTCATTTTAAAAATCCCTAGGGATGGTCCATCGACTGACAAAGGGAAAGGTAGCCTCTCCCTGACTGCGTGTCCCATACAGGTTATGAAAAGATAAAGCAAGGAATAGCTATTCCCCTAATTGTGTTCTTGGGGGACATGCTAGATGCTCCCTCTATGGAGAGAAATCTTTGTGACATCTGACCCACCCTGGAGAGCCTGTTAATCTGGAGGCAGAAGGCAACCATTAGGAGCTACCATGTCCTAGACTGTATTACTCACAGGAACCAGCAGCCTCAGACAGGTAGAAAAACTGGGCAAATGGAGTTCTTCAGGGTGGGTGGGATCCTGCAGTCTCTCCCCCTGCTCTCCACAGCCCAGTCTTCCCAGGTGGGGAGAACATACAGTGACCTTTCAATGAGTTAGGAGTTTATTAATGATTTATTGTGAAATATGTGGAAATACGAAGTACTCCATATAGCAGTTGGGCCAAGAACCCCCGAGGTGCTGGAGTATATTTGCATGTGAGRCCAGACACTGGCTGTGTCACTGATGCTTATTGACTAAGTCAGTCACAGCCCCTGACTGCCTAGCGCTTCTGACTCATCCTGTTTGGGACTTTTCTGTGCAATTATTCCTCAGCATTCTGTTTTGTCTTTGTTGTCTTGATGAGAAGTTAGGTCCTCAGAGACATGCAATGACTTTTCTAAGGCTGTAAACCAGTGAGGGTTGTAGCTGGGATTCAGACTCAGATCCCCTGCCTTAAACTTTTTCCATTGCCCATCACGTAACTGAGACCAGGATAGGGAACTTCACGCCCTCCCAGAAGAGGGCTCCTCAATTTCCTCACTGAGTCAGCAGCCAACGACGGGACTCAGCCAATGATGGGACTCATCCACCGTCAGGAATGGCTGTTTACAGAAAGCATTTTCTCCTATAAGCCATCCCAGGGGCTCCATTAATTTCTCTGTTTTCTCCAACTTTAATGGGCATTTTAAGGGGTAATTGCTTGGGTATCTGGTAAAAATTCAAGTGTGGATTCTGCTGCGGTGCAGAGGGGTCTTGTAATCTGCATTTCAAATAGTCCAATGGAGATGCTGCTGATTCTAGGACCACAGACAAGGTAGGAAAGTTCTAGCAAGCCCATCACAAGGCTTTGAGATGATGTCAGACAAAATATGTTCTGGGACATGGATTTTAAGAGAATAAAGTGTTTCTTTCTCTTCTCTGTCCCCAACCCTGGCTGTGCCCTTGGCTTGCCTTCCCTTTCCCTCTCCTCTTCCTGCCTGTCCCTGACATCAGCTGTTCAGCATGAGGAGCTGGAGCGACATGCGACAGGAGGTGTTGTTTCTGACCAACGTGAACRGCTCCAGCTCCTCCACCCAGATATACCAGGCTGTGTCCCGCATCGTCTGTGGCCATCCAGAGGGCGGGGGGCTGAAGATCAAGTCTCTGAACTGGTACGAGGACAACAACTACAAAGCCCTCTTTGGAGGCAATGGCACTGAGGAAGATGCTGACACTTTCTATGACAACTCTACAAGTGAGTGTCTGTGCCACCCAAAGCCTGTCCCCACTCCTCATGTTTACCTTGGTCTCCATAGCAGCCTTTGACATTGACGTGTCTGGTTTCTCCTAATGAGCTCAGGAAGGAATCTTTTCTTAACCAGCTAATTTCCCCTAGTTCTTTGAATGGGGCCTGGCACATCTTAGGTGCACAGTGGTGTTCATCAAAACCACCCCAAACCAGTCTCCCTAGCTTTCTGGAGGATGTTGGAAGGTGGCTCCCAGAGTAATCATGATGAGATACTGGCAGAAAGAAAATTCAATATGATCTCACTTACTTGTAGAATCTTTGAAAATCAAGCTCATGAAAGAGTAGAATGGAGGCTGCCAGAGCCTGGGTGTGGAGGAATGGCAAATGTTGGCCAAAGGGTGCAAAGTTTCAGTTTTATGCAAGATGAATAAATTCTGGAGAACTAATGTCTAGTAGGGTGACTATAGTTAATAACACTGTGGTGTATACTTAAAATTTACTTTTACCACACACACACACACACACACACACACACACACACACACGCGCACACTCAAGATAACTAAGTGAGGTGTGGATAACAAGCTGAATTTTGGTAATTGCTTCACAGTATATGCATATATTCATACATCAGGTTGTATGCCTTAAATATATACCATTTTTTGTTAATTATACTTTGTTAAAGCTGGAAAGAATTTTTTTAAAAAGGATGAGATGATGCTCTTTTTATTATTATTATTACAAATATTACTGTTGAGTTATGCTTTATAGTAAAAACTGAAAAATCAATCAAAATAATAACCCTAACAATAACTATAACAGAATCTAACATGTAGGCAAAATTTCATACGCATCATGCCTTCTTTGTAAATTATCTCATTTCACCCTCACAATAACCTTGCAGGGAAGGTTCTATAACCCTACATTTCACAGGCTCAGAGAGGTTGTGACTTGGTCAAAACCACATCATAGCTAATTCAAAAGAGCTGGGATCCAAGCCCAAACTCTTCTGGCTCTGGGCCTTTTCCTGTAAACCACACTGCTTTTAAAATACCTGTTGGCATGTGTGTACCATCACACTTGGGCGTTTGATCTGCTGTTTGTTTTGCGTCCGCAGCCACAGGCAGTGTTAAAGAACCTTGTAACTCCATATCTGCTTGCCACACTCGGGCAGTTTTATGGGGATATGAGTCTTGCACCAGGGGCAGCAGGGATCCAGTGTTAGTTTTCAACAATGGCATCCTTTTCTCTGAAAACATGAAGCAACTGAGCCTTTCTCCATTTCCAGCCACTGGTGTGTCTTTCAGACAGTGAGTGAGACAGGTTTTTGTGCATTACTGAAACACTAGAACCTTCTATTCTTCTCTCGAGTAAAACACCAGACAGTTGCAAGTTGCTTTAAAGAGTGGCATTAAAACTGCTTTATGAAACACCATAGCCTCTTCTCTCCCAGCTTGCAAATCAACTCAGGAGAGGATTCATTTGTGCAATAGTTGTAATTGGGAGAGTATCCTCTCCATAAAAAATTCTGGGGCTGAGTATGCAGCTCAGCAGTAGAGCACTTGCTTAGCATGTGTGTCACCATGAGATGGATCCCCAGCATACCAATTCTATTATCTTTGAAGCATATAGAAGTTACTTGGTATCACAAAACCAAAATGAAAGCTAAAACAAATTGAAAAACCCAGAATGAACTTTTAAAAAAATATCAGAGATAAACCCCATTGGTCTGTTATAACTTTGGATTTTTCAGTTTGGGGTTTTTATAAATGTCAGCATACTTGTGATGAGGTCTGTTAATTAAAGGGATAATTTTGGCTTTTCTTTGAAAACTAAAGTCTGAATTCAGGCCTCTGGTTGCTCATTGGGAATCTTGTTTATTTTCAGTGAAAAGAGAGTTCAAGGGCTGGCATGAGAGTATGAGTCTAGAGTTATGAGGTCTTCTGCATGGTAAAAACATTTTTTTCTAGATCCCGCACAGTTGTACGTTACAAGAAGCTCTGATTATTTACAAAACATCATTTTAGAGGCTTCACTGAAAATGTCTCAGATAATCCTCCCCACATCTCTACCAAGTAGCTGTTATGAAGTCTATTTTTTTTTTACAGAGTATCAAACTGAGACTCAGGAAAGTAACATTATATTTATGTGATTGTTACATGGTAGTGCTGGGATTTGAATCCATGACTGTCTTTCTCATTCCCAAACCTTTGTAAATTCCTACCAGTATATGACCAGGCATACGAATGAGTGTCTTCTATCACCTTTGTAGCTCCTTATTGCAATGATTTGATGAAGAATTTGGAGTCTAGTCCTCTTTCCCGCATCATTTGGAAAGCTCTCAAGCCTCTGCTTGTTGGGAAGATTCTGTATACACCTGACACTCCGGCCACGAGGCAGGTTATGGCAGAGGTAAGCTGCCCAGACCCAAGACTCCCTCCCCAGAGTTCTGTTAGAATTAGGGGCAAAAATAATAAAGGTGGGYTCAGATGGAGTGTGCATATGCTCTTGGCCTCTGGGACTTTTAAATAGTGGAAACCTCAAGTCCGATCCAGCCCACAGCTGTGTGGGGACCAGCTCCCYGAGCCTAGGTATTTGAATGATAGCTTCAGGCAGACACTCCTTGGGGATGAGAGAGGATTGGGCAGGGGCTGCTATGATGGAGTGTCTTTTTAGTGAGCACTCCCTCACCATCTCTGCTTCTCCTCTTCTGTGGCCCCTGGCTCTGTACCTGACTYCAGGTGAACAAGACCTTCCAGGAGTTGGCTGTGTTCCATGACCTGGAAGGCATGTGGGAAGAGCTCAGCCCCAAGATCTGGACCTTCATGGAGAACAGCCAAGAAATGGACCTTGTTCGGGTGAGTGTCCCTCTGATTGCTTTGTGCTTGGCTTGATCCTGGAGAGGTGAGTTTTCAGTWATTTTGCCAGAAGCCACTGAGATGAGAGTTGTTTCATCGGTTGAGATGTAGTGAGCATAGCTCCATCCACAGGGSTGTCCCCCCATCCATAAGGAGAGACCACAGTGTAACTGATAATTCTGTGCACTTCAGCATCAATGCCTCGGGTGGTCAAATACCTGTTTCCTACAAAATRTAGAAAGGACTGATGTTGGGAAGTAGTTTGGTGATTGCGGGACCCTATTTTCATTTCTGGCTTCATTCACTGGAGGTAGGTCTTGGAAGGAGGTGTGGGAGCAAAAGCGTCATCTGACATGCAGACTTGCTGGAGATACTGGTCCCTGAGGTGCTGCATGAGTGCAGAACGGCCACTGCTGCGTGGAACAGGAATTGCACTTAATGCTTCCGAGCCCCTTGAAGGAGATAAATGCTCTGGAGACAATTAGATTGAAAAGCAGAGCAGCCCAAGAAGAACAGAATGTCTGCTTTGCTTGAGCCTGAGAGTCATTTAATCATATCATCCCTGCCTTGGGCTGAGTCAGAACCTGTGGATTATTTCCTGTTCCATGGTGAGGGAGTATGCTTCTTATTGTCTCTGCTGCCTTTAAGGAGACTCTTGCCAGTTTGCTTGTTTTGCACCTCATTGACCCAAGGGGCATGGGGTTTTGGAAGCTATACCCATCTGGAGGGAACTCCTTTGAAGTTTAGAACTATCCCCTTGAGGGCAGGTTACTAAGGAAGAAGTATCCTGTGATGGAGAAACCCAAACCTCCTGTGCTGCACTAATCCTGCCACACATGTGCAAAATTCTTATATTGGGGCCTTTGAAAACWCGGGACTCAAGTGAGGAAAACATGAACAATGATTGGTATGGGCTGATACTGAATAACAGGAATAGCTCATGTCCCTTAAGCATAGCTCTCCGTTGGGCTTCAGTCCATCTCCTAAAAGGGAGTCACAAGATCTATTCACCAACAGTGCTGTAGAGCTAAGGGTGGTCTCAGAGTTCTTCTCCCTGGTCTTCTTCTTGGAATTTATATTTCTATTAGTTGGACTTGTTCTCTCTGGTCTCAGAATGATAAAGAACCCAGTTGAAGGGATTCCATGAGCTTTAATTGGGGGGTAAGTAGATGTTTCCCTGATCTTAAATTGATAGTTTGCCTTGGAATCTCCAACTGCTTGTAAGCTCCCAGTTCTTAAGGCAAAAGGCCCTTGTATACATGATGGTGGTCATGTTGGCACTAGGAATGTGACATTTGGGGTAAGGTCTGCCCTGCCCAGTGTGGCTTCTTTAGGCAGTATGGCCAGAGAGGGCAGCATGACCAGAGGGATGTGCCCAGTGAGATTACCATGTAGCAGCAGATCTGGGGACTTGAGAGGATCAGGAGCACTAAGGGMAGCTTCAGAAATATGACTAGGAGAATCCTGGATGTGTGATAGGAGGCAGGGGAGTGGAGGCTGGAGAGAAAAGCATAGTATGCCTTGGARGGCCTTGTGTGTCATGCTCTGGATCTTTAAGCTTGCCGGGGGCCAGTTATGAAAGGATTTTAAGCAAGTAGAGATATAGATGAATTATTCTGATATGACATGGATTGAACAGGCAAGATGGGAAGATGGGTAAATACGAGGGCAGTGTCTGTGCAAGTGAGTGACCAAGGCATAGATAGGGAGGGAGGCCTGCTGACTGCTTGGTTGAGGGAGGCACCAGGATGATTCTTGATTTCTGGCAGGCTGGTGGGGATGTCCAGCAGGCTGCTGGCTGCTGGGATCATAGTGCAGGAGGGCAGTTGGACTGTGGACACTGACTTGGAAGTTGTCAGTCTGTGGGTTAGAATCACAGGAACCTTGTCCAGTGGCTTTCTTTTCTGGACTTAAGGAGTGTTTCTTTAACTTCACAAGCATGGGCTTCTCAGTCCTCAGCACCTCTTGCAGCCTGGCCTCTGGTACATGAGGCAATGCCTGAGGCTTCTGCTTCTGCTGGGGTAGCTCTTCTCTTTCTGCGGTCTCTGRCTCTGTCTGCTCCTATTACATTACCCTGTAGATCTGGAGGTACTTCTCTTTTTCAAGTGCCAGAAACCTTTGATGCTGATTTGCTCTTTACTGAGCTGTTCTTGGCACCTCATCTCCAGGCCCTGGTATGTCTCTGCCTACACTCCAAGGGCACTCTTAAGTCTCCTGGTCCTCTCAAGCTCCCAGAACTATTACATGGTCAGTGATGTCACTGAGCACATCGCTCTGCTCTTGCCATCCTCCTTGGCCATATTGCTTTAAGAAGCCACATCTAATAGGGCCAGCCTCACCCCCAAATGCCATATCCCTTTACTCTACTCTTATTTGTCTCATGCATCCAAATAAAGTAGTTTCAGAATTGCCTCTGTGCACTTCTGGGAGGTACAGTTTTGTATCTGTTTGCAAAAATAAGTACTAATCTTTACTGATGACAGCATAAATTGTTATTCCTTATTGAAAACAATTTTGAATGAAGGTTTCAAAAACCATGCCATCCAGGTACCTCCATTTCATATACCCTCAGGGATATATCCTACAGAAATCATTTTAAAGAYGTCACCATAGGAAAGAAAATGTTATTGCTGTAATAATTGCTATTGCAAGAAATCAGAAATAGACTAGATGTTCAGAAGTTCAGGAATAGTTAATGAAATTACAGTATGTGTACTCTGTAAAATCATTATGATGTGACAGACAACAGGGCCTGGAAATGAAGGGCCACAGAGGAAAATCTGATAATGTTAGTGAAAATAAGATTGACTTTCAAAGGTAGTTTTCAGACCCTTGGAGAGCCAGTCCAGTACAAACCAGGGCTTCCTCTTCCCTCTTGAAGCTGTGTTGACAGCTGCGAATCTTTGCCAAGCTTACAACTGCTTTATTTTCCTGGCCGTATACCTCTGCAGACCTCTGCTCCAGCCCTGCTGGATGTGGGTCTGCTGTCTGAGCACCAGATTGACTTACCCCTCTCCTTCACACTGACCCACTCAAGCAACCAACTGGTGAGGGAGGAATAAGGAATGGAAAATGGGTYTCCTTCACATCATGAACCATATATGCAGAGATTGGAAAAGACTGCATTTGTTTTAACCAGCATCATCCCCCCCACCCACTAAATTAAGCAGTAAAAGTGGGCTTAGTGTAGATTTAGGGGTTTTATTTGGGTAATCAGACTGGTCCTCAAAACAAGAAGGTATTCAATAAAATGGGTGCACTAGAATCAGAGGACTTTGCTACTTATGAACTGTGTCTTTATATGAGAGACAACTTCCCTGAACCCGAGCTTTCCCCTGTGTGAAATGGGGAATATTAAAGATACTTCATTCATGGAGCTATGTGAGATGTAAAGTATATAGATCACTCAACATTGTCTTGCTATCTCCATTGTTACAGTTAGTATTGGAGGCCTGAGCTGTTAGGTACAGTGGGAAGCATGTGGACTGTGAATTCAGACTGATCTGACTTTGAGTCAGCCCCATGCCTATTAGCATGATGACCCAGCTGTGGTTAAGATCATTATTTCAGTCTTCTCTCCTGTAAAATGGGGACACCATAACGTACTTCAAACATTTCTTTGAAGTCACACAGAGAGACAGTGTATATGCCAGGGTTTGGTACATCGTGTAAATGTTCATCCAGATGTAGTTGTAGATCACCACTCATACGTTCCCTCTGGAATGGCAGACGCTGTTGGATAGCAGAAGCAATGACCGCTTCTGGGAACAGCAGTTGGACGGCTTAGATTGGACAGCCCAAGACATCGTGGCATTTCTGGCCAAGTACCCAGAGGATGTCCAGTCTGCCAATGGCTCTGTGTACACCTGGAGAGAAGCTTTCAACGAGACCAACAGGGCAATCCAGACCATATCTCGCTTCATGGAGGTGAGGATCTGTTGTGTCTATCATTTAGAAAAAGCCTAGGGCTCATTTCTTTAATATGTTGCAATAAAGTCAGAGACAGGAGGAAAGCTTTGAGTTGGTGTACAGTCCCATTTCCAGCAGTATCCYTCAAGCCTAACAGTTTGGGGTATAAAAGACATTCTATAAATGTTCGTTAAGTCCAGCTTTATTCTGTGTGGATTCAAGTGTTTCCATCCATTTTCTTCTAGGTTTCCTGGCATGCGTAATGGCAGTAAAAATATTTCCTTAAAAAAATCATTATTTTTGAAAGATAGCTGAGCTTTAATTAGGGACAGATTAAATATTAAAAATATAATCCTGAAAATCATGGCATTTTGTAGGGATGAATAAAGGGTTTTTGGGATCTGTTTAGTTGGTTATTGCTATGACTCAACAGAGGAAATAAGATATAATGATTGCTTCAACTTCTGTTCCCCCATAAAAATCAATATAAGTAACTTTTCTCTAGATTCTTCCAGCATTTCTCTTAAATGTCAGTTAAAAAMGAAAAGACTCATTCTTGGTTAAGACTGGAAAAGTACTTTAGAGAGATTAGATCGTGAGGGTTTAAGTCAGGCAATCAGTTCTTGCCTCYCGGGGTGGGGTCTGCCTGGGCCACTGCTTTTTTCCTGGCTACCAGTGTTCTCACGAAGCCTGTTTTTCCATCAGTGTGTCAACCTGAACAAGCTGGAACCCATACCCACAGAGGTCCGGCTCATCAACAAGTCCATGGAGCTGCTGGATGAGAGGAAGTTCTGGGCTGGTATCGTGTTCACAGGAATCGCTCCAGGCAGTGCCGAGCTGCCCCATCACGTCAAGTACAAAATCCGAATGGACATTGACAATGTGGAGAGAACAAACAAAATCAAGGATGGGTAAGTTGAATCCCATAACACCAGCCCAGTCTCGGGGAAGTCAAGACAGCTGTCATGTCTAGAGCTTCTTTATTTGAATTAATAATTTAGTAGAAATTTCAATGGAAAAAAAATCACTGGTTACAGTATGATTTTGATAAAACTGGTACATTCATTGCTGGGGGCTATGATTTTGGAGGTCATAAAATATTAGTAACTTTTGATTCGGCATTTCCACTCAAGAGAAACTAATCTCAAGAAATTAAGATAACAGAAGAAAAGGAAAAAAAAGCCTTTAGGTTCTTCATGCTAACATTATTCATTTTTCTGAAAAGGAGCAAACAACCAATAAGAAGGAAATGGTTAAGTAAATTTTGACTTATCTACTCCATGCAGTGTTAGGTACTAAATGGAAGATGGATAAAAACCAAAGTAGTCTGTTTATTTTGCTTGTGTCTATTTAAAAATATGTGTACATATTGACTGAAACCAGAAATTAAGTTATGGAAATAAAAAGAGAGTGGCTTGACAAAGGTGGTGAGATTGTGGGGATGGGATTTTCTTATTGGAGGTTTTCACCTGTGGTTTGGTTTTAGGTACTGGGATCCAGGTCCTCGGGCTGACCCCTTTGAGGATATGCGATACGTCTGGGGAGGCTTCGCCTACTTGCAAGATGTGGTGGAGCAGGCGATCATCAGGGTACTGACGGGCACTGAGAAGAAAACCGGTGTCTATGTGCAGCAGATGCCTTACCCCTGTTATGTCGATGACATGTAAGTTACCAGCAAACTGCCAGCTTTATTTGAATATCCAGTTAACACTGTTCCAGGGAGAGAGAGAGAGAGAGAGAGAGAGAGAGAGAGAGAGAGAAAGTGAAAATAACTAGCCAGATGTAAGTGGTCAGTAGTTCCATTCACATGGCAGAGAGACACAATTGTACACACACTTAGTAATCCTCCTTCCTTTCTCATCTGTGGTTACCAGCACTTCTGTTTTTTACACTCTTTTTTTTTATACTTTTGGTCAAAATTTACCCAATTTGCAAAACTTGTCATGACAAATACATGCAAATACATATACGCACATCCTTTCAAATTCAGAATGGCAGATCTGTAAAAGCAGATTTCCTGTAAATTTGTCTGTTTCCTCTGAATGATTGTTGYACCACATTTTGAAACAATGCATGTGAGACTGAACAAAACCTATTTATCTTAGACTTTTAAGATATTCTTTTAGCACTTAGTCACTAAGCAGCCCAAGTTCTCATTATGGGAACTGTGCCCTGGGAGCTAATGATTTCTCATAAAGAATGAGCAGAGGTAGATGTAGTTATTGCAGGCATCTCAAATATGTCAAGTCCCCAAATTCTGGATAGTTTCTTATTCTGTGGTGTGTGTGTGTGTGTGTGTGTGTGTGTGTGTGTGTGTGTGAAGGAGCAGTATTCCTCTCCTGCATTTGCTCTCTCTTGCATTGAACTACCCATTTCCTTGTATAATGAACTCTAGCTTTTCCAGGCCACTAGAAATTCTGTTTTTTTTTTTTTTTTTAACCTGAAATGATTTGATAGAATTTTTCAAAGGAAGACTTTTCTGAAGAGCCCTACACCAAGGCTTACTTTAGGAAAGATGTCTTAGGATGAGGGTACTGGAGTTCAGAGGTACTAAGGGCCTTTGCCTATGGTCATGTAGTAAGTTCATAAGCAGTACAGAGGGGATTTGAGCCTCAGCTTTTGGGATCTGAAATCTGTGCCCCCTTACTTTGTAGCACTGTGTTTCTTGTGCTAGTTTGGAATCTGAAATATTACTGACAAGAGCCWCTAGAAATGCTTCTCTGCAGTGTGATGAGAATTAAACTAAGCAAGTCAGTCGTGAGATGACCTTGGAGATACTGAACCTCGGTCAGAGATYGAGTTGGGATTTTACTTTTTAGCTTTAGCTTAACACCATCTCACAGCTACCAAGTTACTAAAAGCAAGCCTCCAAAGAAATTTGGGTTGGCAATACTTCATTAGCCTAGCTTTTCTCTCTATGTCAAACCTGTATATTTTGGAGTCTGGGGGCCTGCCCCAAGTGGTCCAAATGTGGTGCTTCTCTAGCATACAGGCTCAGAGGCCTTGGYCCATGGCTCATACCTGTCTCTTATTCTTCCCTGCTCCTCCTTGCTACCTTTAGCTTCCTGCGGGTAATGAGCCGCTCAATGCCCCTCTTCATGACGCTGGCCTGGATCTACTCTGTGGCTGTGATCATCAAGGGCATCGTGTATGAGAAGGAGGCGAGGCTGAAGGAGACCATGCGGATCATGGGCCTGGACAACGGCATCCTGTGGTTTAGCTGGTTCATCAGTAGCCTCATCCCTCTGCTTCTGAGTGCCAGCCTGCTAGTGGTCATCCTGAAGGTGAGGCTTCTTCACTTGCTCTTCCTGGCCAGGGAACTCCCAAACAGCCCAGTGTGAGCTAAAGGAGGGGAAGAATAAAAGCCAAAACTCTAGGAGGGAAGGAGGAGCCTTACCTGCCATATCCTGTAATCCTCTCATCTTAGTGTTGGAGAAAGGGAGGTCCAGAGAGGGGCAGTGACTTGTCCAGGGTCCACCTAGCTGATTAGTAGCTAAGGTGTACCAGAACCCAGGGCTGAGGCTTTCCAGGACAGGCAAACATCTAACCGCACCCACTGTCTGTTTTACAGTGTAGCTGATCCTTTCCTTAGATGTATTAGGTGGTGATTTGAGCCACTGGAAATACTTCTCTGCAGTGTGATGAGAATTAAAYTAAGTMAGTCAGTCGTGAGATGACCTTGGAGATACTGAACTTCTGTCAGAGATTGAGTTGGGATTTTATTTTTTAGCTTTGAAGTAGCCCACCTTTAGCTTAACACTTAAACTCTTACTGAATTTCTAAAACCAATATACTCAGAAGGACAACTGTTGGTGCAGTTAAGGTTGTCTGGAAGCAGAGGCTGAGACAGAGTATGGCACATGGGAATTCATTAGGGATCAACAGCTGTGGAAGAGATGAAGCCTGAAGAATTGGCAGAGGGAGGAGTGGAGCTGTGATGCGGGACCAGTGTCATGGGGCACTCTGGGGGGCAACCAGATGCAGGCATCCTACACTGAGCCGAAGTGTCCAGTTCTTTAGCTTACCCATGATGTCACTCATTGGATATGGGCCACCCTGGGCAGGCTGTGCCCCAGGGCCAGGTGACTTTCTATAGCTGTGACAAACCCAGAGATGCTGACACCTGGAGGCCACCTTGTGACAGCCAGATAGTCAGCCCTCCCTTCAAGCTGACTCTGGGCAGTGCCGTTCTGTGTTTGTCCCATACACTAACATACTTCCCAGTTTTCTTTCTCCATACTTATTTATATAAGGATATATCACGTAAAATTAAATGTTTGTAAAGAGTGGGGAGTGCAACGGGACAGGAACTAACTTTCACTTTAACAGTGACTACTGTCTGTTATGCATAAGTAGCTACTGACACCAGACATTGTTTAAAACACATTCCATGTGCTGCCTTATTACTTTCTCATTAAATGACCCATTTAGCATGCAAGGAAAGGAGGCTAAGGAAGGTCAAAGCTTCTCCAAGGCCCACAGCAGGACTACAGAATCAAGATTTGATTGCTTTCTCTCTCAGTCAAGAATGCAGATCCCGCAGATCATGCAAGTGAGTTCTTGGGCTTGTGGAGGCAGCACATTTAACGAGTCTTTTCCTTTCCAGTTAGGAAACCTGCTGCCCTACAGTGACCCCAGCGTGGTGTTTGTCTTCCTGTCTGTGTTTGCTGTGGTGACCATCCTGCAGTGCTTCCTGATTAGCACACTCTTCTCCCGAGCCAACCTGGCAGCAGCCTGTGGGGGCATCATTTACTTCACGCTGTACCTGCCCTATGTCCTGTGCGTGGCATGGCAGGACTATGTGGGCTTCACAGTCAAGATCTTCGCGGTGAGTAACTTTGGCCTTTCTGCAGCGGTTGTAGTCACAGCCACAGCAGGTGTTTGAGCTCCCCYGATGTTGCCCATGAATTCAAGCAACAAGCTGTGAATACAAGATGAGAGAGTTGCTTTATAAAAGGACTTGAATCTTAGTTCTAGATTCTAATTCCTTTGAAGGCAGGGACTATGTGTTATTAAATTGTTTATGTTTAGTTCTGTCTGTGAATGCTGGTTGGATTGAATTGAATGGAATGTTTCCTGGATCAGACTGAACCTTAAACCTGTTGGGGGTACATTGGGGAATGGTTTTCGGCAATAGATGCCATCTCCACCCTCAACCTCCCAGTTTTGTTGGCCATGTTTAAACTGGCTGCAGAGTCATAGCCACAAATAGACATGAAGGTTCTTGAGGTCAAAGGTGGCTCATTCTTGACTCTTGCCTTCCTCGTGTCCAGTGTGGTGTTTGGCTTGAATAATATTTTATGAACTGAGGGAGACTAGGAGTCAGTGAACCACAAATCCCTGAGTTAGATATTTCCTTTCCTTGAACAGAGTAGGAGTAGCCTTTGAGGGTATGAGAGCCCCTGTGAGAGCACTTGCCAGCTGCCYCCTGGATCACTTATAAGGGAAACTGACTGTCACTCATAAGGAGCTTCAGGTGCCTCAGTCTGGGCCCCATAGACATCTGCAATCCTAAACAGGCTATTATACAAGATCCTGAATGTTCCCTGGCTGAGCAAGGAGCTCATAAAGACCTTGATGAATATCACTATGGGTAGGAGGTGGGAGTAGGGGACTGGTTAGGTGAGTCTTGGAGAATCCTTGGAAGCATAAAATCCAAAAATTTTACATGCTATTTTGCATGAATTTATAAAATGTGTGTGCATAATGAATAGTTATAAATGGAATAATTTAATATGCTGCAAGGGAGCCCACTCCTCTAAAGGGACTCTGTAGGTGAATACTTCTGTATCCTATAATTGATCTATTTTGCAAATTCAAATTTCTCCAAGTGTGGAATTTATTATGTTATGAGAAAATGAGAGCRACAAGGAATGAGATTAACTAGATAAGTGACTCTTGCCTCTTTCTCTCAGAGCCTGCTATCTCCTGTGGCTTTTGGGTTTGGCTGTGAGTACTTTGCCCTTTTTGAGGAGCAGGGCATTGGTGTGCAGTGGGACAACCTCTTTGAGAGCCCTGTGGAGGAAGATGGCTTCAATCTCACCACTTCAGTCTCCATGATGCTGTTCGACACCTTCCTCTATGGGGTGATGACCTGGTACATTGAGGCTGTCTTTCCAGGTACACTGAGCTCCTCACTGCTTTGGCATCTGCCAGGGAAAGAATTCTGGCTGCAGAGCTTCCCTTTCTTTGTGCTGGAATTTTTTCATGGCATGGGGCTCCCTGGAAAGTGGTTTGGACTTTAGACCTATGGCAAACAAATAGTTCCAGTAGAGGCAACCAGTGCTGAAAAATACTACTACTATGGCCATCATTTCTCGAGTACTGTGTGTTCAGYACTATGCAGTGTTTGATATACTGTGGTTCATTTAATTCCCAAAAGGCTACGTAGAAGTTTTACTGTTATAACTGTTATTCCTCAAATGAGAGAACTATGACTCAGAGAAGTTAAGTAACCTGCCTGAGGTCACTCAGCTCCTAAATTCTGGTGCTCAGAAGTGAACCCAGTTGGGTTACACTGGATCAGCAAGCCAGGAGATTCCACCCTGTGCTGACTCAATTCTGTAATTCCATGTCCCCAGAGAGGGTAATTTTACCTTGATTACAGATTGTGAATAATACAATCTGTTGGCTCTAAGCCTTTACATGGGATTGAAATCAAATTAATATTCAATAAAAGCTCATTTTGATACTTTCATTAACAAATCTTCTTGACCAAGTCCAAGAGGAACCAGTCTTAGGATATGTTTTCATACAAGATGAAACTGTGGGAGAGTGAAGGTTTGTTCCATGTAGTTCACCTTCTCATTCTCCTCTGAGGAGGTAGACATGAGATGTTGATCATCCCTTCCTGAACTTCCTTCACTGAATATGAAATTCTGCATCATTGCAGATCTGGATTCGAATTCTGAGTCCTTCACTCATTGGCTGAGTGACCTTATGTAGGCTGCTTACCCCTCAAAATGAGGATGGTGCCTGCCTCAGGGGGTTGTTGGGGGGCCTCAGAGAAAAGCAGAATGTACACTGTTTTTAGTAGGTTTCAGCGAAGGTTACCTCCCTTTCCCCCACTTCCATTCCAGGCTATTCCTTTTCCAAAGGGTGTGTCAAGGAGGGAGTGGGCTGGCTGGGACACCTGAGGAATACAGGAATGGTGCTCAGCTTGGATCACACCTGTGCTTTGCTTGCAGGCCAGTATGGAATTCCCAGGCCCTGGTATTTTCCTTGCACCAAGTCCTACTGGTTTGGTGAGGAAAGTGATGAGAAGAGCCACCCTGGTTCTAGCCAGAAGGGAATATCAGAAAGTAAGTACTGCTGTCCTGCCCTCCTCCAACCAAGTGCTCACAGGGGCAAGTGATGGATGGATCCTGCACTTTATGCTGAAGTCACTTTAAATAAGCCAGTCCTAAAAAACCAAAGGTCCAATGATTTCTCTGATAATTGGAAGCTAAACACAGCAAGGGGAAGAACCCACATGCAATAGATTAGACAATGGGGAAGGGAGGGAAGGGAGGGRGGGATAAGCAAAGGACAGACAGTGGAATCAATCTAACATAGTTTTCCCATGTTGGGTTATGAAAACAACACCGTGAATCCCACCACCATAATATCCATAAGAATGGGACTCTAACTAGAATATGATGTATACGTATTTTATGCTTCTATAATTATGTCAGAATGGATTCTGCTGTCATATATTAACTAAAAAGAAGCAATAAAAGTAAAATAAAATATTAAAAAAATAATAAATATACGAATGCACATAAAAAACCAAAATTACTTTAAAGACAAAGAAATCTTACACAATGTATCCCTTCCAAATTGTCCCACACCATTCATGTCCAAAGCTATGAACTTGATGGGGAGTCTTGTATGGGTCCCTGGGGAACATTTCCTGTTTTCTTGGCTCCTTGCAAAGTGTCTTTTGATCACTGTACCTTCACTTATTGCTCTCTTACTACCATGCTGTCCTGACAAGCTAGCAGGGAGAGGTAAAGGAAGCCTCGCTGCCTGCCTTGTCCTGGCAACCCATGTAAGAGCCTGGGTAGGTGGGCACCAAGAGTCAGCCTGTTTCTTCTTCTTTTTTTTCTTTGTATTTTGTTATTTGATCTTTTTAGATACACATGACAGTAGCTTGTATTTTGACATCATATACCTACATGGAGTGTAGCTTATTCTAATTAGGATCCTTTCTTGTGGTTGTACATGATGTGGAGTTTCACTGGTGGTCTTTCTTAATGTTCTCACTGGTCACTACTCAGAGGCCTGATCCTCGCTTGCTCCCAGCAGCAGGTAGAGATGCCCACAGCTCAGCAGAGGTTCTGCCTTCTGGGTTCTCTGTTTAGGTTTGCACTCAGTGTGGATCCTTCCCAAGTAGTTAGTAGGTCCCTCTTCTGCTGATCTCTTGTGTGTCCGTCCCCTGATGCCCAGTGGTAAACGTACGAAGCTCCTTCATGTGGCACACGTGCCACTGTTCTGCTGCTTCTCCTGCTCTTCCCACTCTCCTTCCCTGCCTCTTCTCTGCACCCAGCTCCTGTCAGCCACTTCTGGAACCTGRCACATTGTTCTCTGTCTCGGTACCTTTGTCTGTACGGTTTCCTCTGGGGGGCACCTTTTCTCCTGCTTTCCTGCTGTTTAAACTCCTCACTCTTCAAGAGCTGGTCAGTATTCCCTCCCTGGAGCAGCCCTCCTAGATTCTCCTTCCTCTGAGCTTCTGTTGCATGTAAAACACACACACACACACACACACACACACACACACACCCTCAACATTTTCATATTAAAATAACTGTAGATTCACTGTGTAGAAAGGGTTCCCTGGAACCCTCCATCCAGTTTTCTCCAGTGGTGGGAGGAAAACCATGAAATTGACACTAGTACAAGTCACACCTTCATATTCCTCTAGTTTTGACATGCACTCAATCGTGTGTGGTTTTAGATATGTATAGTTTTCTCAYGTGTACATTCATCAGCTCAGTCAAGGAGCAGAAGTATCCCGTTACCACAAAGCTCTCTCCTGTTATCACTTAACAGTCCCAGCCACCTCCCTTCTTTGTGGCTCCCTGACACCTGTTAACCTAACCACTCATCTGTTTCCAATTTCTCCAATTTTTAAAATTTCCAGAATATTATGGAAATGGAACCATACAATGTAAATMTCTCTCTCTCTGCCCCCTCTCTCTCTATATAAAATCTCCCAGCAGAGTTTCCTAGAGATCCACTCAAATTGTGGTGTGCATCAACAGTTCATTCCTTTTCCTTGCTCAGTGGTATTCCATGGTATGCATGTCATAGTTCCATGGCATTTTCAGATGTGTTTTTAAAACAGCAGTTAGCATTCTGTATTTTAATTGCTAGTCAAGTCTTTCTTCCTTAATAGGCTGCAAATTTTGCTTTATCATTTAATTCTGACAACAGTGCCAAGAGGGGCCCTAAATAAATATGTATAGCTTCCTGCTTGCTTATAAAACCAGAGTGGCTATGGACAAAAGCCATTCTAAGAGTCCAAGTGCAGCCCTCTGTGTCTTTACATTCTACTTTCAATATACTCTGTGGGTTCATTCCTTTCTCCTCTCTTTTCTCACAGTCTGCATGGAAGAGGAACCGACCCACCTGAAGCTGGGTGTGTCCATTCAGAACCTGGTGAAGATTTACCGAGATGGCATGAAGGTGGCTGTTGATGGCCTGGCACTGAATTTTTATGAGGGCCAGATCACCTCCTTTCTGGGCCACAATGGAGCAGGGAAGACAACCACCATGTAAGAAGGGGAAGTGGCCGTAGAGTCTGCCACTAGAAGGTTCTGCGGTGTACTTAGAAATTCATAGCTGAGGAAATTGGGGTTGGTTGCTAGGGCAAGGATAGAGCACATGAGGAAGTGATAAGTGTAAAACATCATATAATCATAGTGTGCTTTCCAAGGGTTAGTCTTTGCTAGATGTTTTTTCTTCAGCCTAAAGCAGGGTGGGTGTTTTAATGGCCATCCCAGGTAGGGCTCAGAATTCTGCAGTGTTCTTGGAATCTGAGGCTATGACAGCTTTGAGAAAGGGTCTCCTTCTGAGCTGGTTTGGCCAGAAGTGTAAAGCAAAAATCTGGAAAGAAAGATTAGACACTGGAGGGAGATGGCAATTTCCAGGAACTCTGTCTCTAAGCAGATGTGGGAAGTGGGCTGTTGACTCCCATTGCCTTCCCTGGCACCCATGAGGACCTTCTGCCTGACAGCTTCCGGAATGGGTAAGGGCCACAAAACACTAGTTAGCCTCAGTGGCTTTCAGTATGGCCTCTCAACCATTCCAAAGGGTAGATCTTCGAGGGTGATGTTCTTTTCTTGTTTTTTTTTTTTTAAAACATAAAATCAATATATTGTGGGCTGGGGATGTGGCTCAAGCGGTAGCGCGCTCACCTGGCATGTGTGCGGCCCGGGTTCGATCCTCAGCACCACATACCAAATCAATATATTGTGGATATAGCTGCTGAATATTTTTTTAAAAGACACTTGAATATCTTACCATCTAACACAAACATTATTACTATTATTATTATTATTATTATTATTATTATTACTGGTATCAGGGATTGAGCCCAGGGGAACTGAGCCACATCCCTAGCCCTTTTTATTTTTTTGTTTTGAGACAGGGTCTTACTAAGTTGCTGAGGCTGGCGTTAAACTTTCAATCCTCCTGCTTCAGCCTCTTGAGCTGCTGGGATTATAGGCATGCACCACCAAACCCAATTTAAAACAGACATTGTTTTTTTTATCTTTTTGAATAATTTGTTTTGATCTGTTTTTCATGAACATAATTAATGTTAGGCATACAAAATACATMTCTTAAGGTTCACTTTCCATTGTATATTAGAGGCTTCATTTTTCAAATGCTCATATTTTGCTTTGTTGGGGATCTATTAGGGTCCATCATAAAGGAATAKAAGCAGGGGGTTGGTACCCCGTGCTCACCATTATGGGCTCTGCAGTGGTGGGGCGGGCCAGCCCTGATGCCTGCATTTGTTAATTTTGTCCTCAGGTCAATCCTGACTGGGTTGTTCCCTCCCACCTCCGGCACGGCCTACATCTTGGGAAAGGATATTCGCTCTGAGATGAGCACCATCCGGCAGAACCTGGGGGTCTGTCCCCAGCACAATGTGCTATTTGACATGTGAGTATCACAGTATGTTGAGAAGAGAGGCCCCTTTTTGGATTTGGAAGTCATGGGTGAAATGGGAGTTAGGCATTTTGCCTTCTTTGGAGATAGCAGTTCTTATCTCTTTAGACACATTGAGATCTGTTTTAGGAAAAGTCAGGGGTGACTATTAGGCAGGAGATGTCACTTCAGTTCAGATGGCTGACGGGGGCTTGGGAAGCAGTGGACTTCATCATGTGCTTCTGGAGGGTCTTTCATCCCATCCTCTCCCCTGCTGCACCTGTCTCTAAAGTTCTGGTTCATTGACCATCCCCGTCTCCACCACCAATCCCTGGCAGGGCCTAAGGACACTTGGTAGCATGGTCCTGTGTTTATGGCTCATGACATTTGCTTCCACTCAGCTTGTCCCATCTGCAGGTGAGACCCCAGAGAGCCCTCGTAGTTGATCAGAGAAAACCTAAGACAGAAAACCCATTTTTTTCTATCTAAAGTAAGCAGTTTGAGCTTCTGGCTCCCTAGGAACCTGCTTTTGCTCAGAGTCTGAGTTCTTTGAGATTCAGGGGATGCTTCTCCAGGTTAATTCTGACCCAGCATGGTTAATGGAACTATGGGTAAGACTTTTGAGGACCTGAAAAATAAATTGCAATTGCTGATGCCTGGTGGCCAGCCCTGTGAAGAGTAGGTTGGAAATGATCTGTTACCTCTAAGTTTTGACTTCCCGAGAAGCTCATGTTGTTGTTGTCTGTTGTTCTACCTTGAATCTTTCCTTTTGATTATTTTTTAGAAATTGATAATTAAGGGGATAAGTACTGGGGATTGATATGGGAAAAGATGATATATGCAATTATGAACATGTCAAAACAAAATCTACTATTATGCATAACTAYGATGCACTGAAAATAAAAATAAAAGAAATTGATAAGTGGAAAAAGAAATGTAGGAATGAGGTGGGAGAGAAGGAAAACATGCACATTCTTTTCTGTCCTGGGTCAGGAGACACTATATTCTGGTGCGTCCTGCAGGGCCCAGAGCTGACCTGCCCCTCTGTCCCCAGGCTTACTGTGGAAGAGCACATTTGGTTCTATGCCTGCCTGAAGGGACTTTCCCAGAAGCATGTGAAAGCAGAGATGGAACAAATGGCCCTGGATGTTGGTCTGCCGCCCAGCAAGCTGAAAAGCAAAACAAGTCAGTTGTCAGGTGAGGCCCTGAGCACCTTCCCTGTCTTTCCCCTTCCGCCTCCACCTATCCATACACAGAGGAAAAGCTGCCCAGGGTCCCAGGTAGGGTGGAAGGTAACAGACCCTTTTCCTGGGCTATGTCCCCAGATGGGTACCTGTCTTCATCTCTCACCCCCCCTCCTTCATTCACCATGTGGCGCTGGTTCTGGAGCCTATCTCTTGCTCTGTCTTATAGGTGGGATGCAGAGAAAGCTGTCTGTGGCCTTGGCCTTTGTTGGGGGGTCCAAGGTTGTCATTCTGGATGAGCCCACAGCTGGTGTGGATCCCTACTCCCGCAGGGGAATATGGGAGCTGCTGCTGAAATACCGACAAGGTAACCAACGTGTACTCTGAGTCATGGATTTGGGGAGAGAAGTGTTCTTGAGAAGTCTGGCTGTGTCTCGTGGCTGCTCTTGCGGGGGTAACAGAATTGCTTCTCCAGGAAAAAAAAAAATGGAACTTTTCTTAAAGCTCAGTGTCTGCCTTTAGTATGGATATGGAAGACCTGGTTGTAAGATACTTGAAGCTTATGCTTCATTACCTAGGGGCCTGCAAGAAYAGAAATGGTATAGACTTACACGGGTATATCGTGATTATACTACGCTAAGATAGATTCCTGAGAGCAGAGGCTCTGTTCATTGTTTTGTCCCTAACTTGTTGCACTAATTTTGTTTGTTCAAAGAGTGGATGAATAAATGAATGGAATGGGAAAGGACAAGAACGTGTTTGGCAGTGTGCTTAGAGCTTGTGCAGCCCTGATACTTTGGAAAAAAATCACTTAGCTTGGCCCCATTTCCTTATCTGTAATAAGAGTGGTGCTTACCTCATGAAGGGTAAAATTAATTAAAGAATATACATAAACCACCTAATATGCTTTCTGACACCTTGCAAGTTCCAGATAAATGCGTTACCAGCCTCGGGGTCATGGCCAGAGGGTTGAAGTCAGCTTTCAGTCTTTTTTGCCTACACCCCTGCCAATGTCTCTATAGTCCTTGCTACTACAATCAATGAGAAAAGACAGGACTCACGTGTCCCACATCCTTGTATTGTGTCTGGCAGGCCGCACCATTATTCTCTCCACACACCACATGGATGAAGCAGACATCCTGGGGGATAGGATTGCCATCATTTCCCATGGGAAGTTGTGCTGTGTGGGCTCCTCCCTGTTTTTGAAGAACCAGCTGGGAACAGGCTACTACCTGACACTGGTCAAGAAAGATGTGGAATCCTCCCTGAGTTCCTGCCGAAATAGCAGCAGCACTGTGTCATACCTGAAAAAGGTGAGCTGCGGTCTCAGTGCTGGGCTGGGCCGTTGGGACTTATTGGCTGGCTGCAGATGGCTTGTCCACCTCTGCCCCATTCACCCAAGTTGTGGCCACTGTCTCCCTGCTCTGTACCCTTTCACATCATACTGCCTATGTGGAAAGTTCTAGAGCCCTCTGTTCTCGTAGTGCTAGTTTTGTTGAGTCCCATTTTTCCTTTTTCCTATTCAATGAGCAATGGAGAATGTCCTTTCAGGACTTTATTGTGTTGCAGAAAAGAGACTAGCTAAGAGGTAAGAGATGGCTAAAAAATGTCCTGCTATTCCTGCTTATTATCTTTAAATCTCATTGATTTTTTACTTTTGAACTATAAAACACAAATATTTATGAAGCACTTATTTCAGACCACACAGACTGGGTGTAAAAGAAAATAATAATAGTTATTGTTTTGTCACATTTTTTTTTCCCATCTGTCATCTCAGAGTACAGAGCAATCCTAGGAAGACAGTACATGATTACTATCCCAGATGAGGGAAGTGAGACCTGTAGGGATTTGTTAGCTTATTTAAAGTCATCTAAAAAATAAATAGCAGGTAGGACTAGAACCCCCAAACCAGACATGTTCTCTTTCATAGTACATGCCTGAGATTTATTCATGGATTGAAACCAGTGGCACCTGATACATCTTAATCCTAACCTTGAACTCTGTCCACTTACTTACCTTTTAACTAAAGCCTCCTTACTAAAGTGTGGTATGAGGACCAGCAGCATCAGGATTATCTGGGAACTTGTTAGAAATGCAATAACTTGGGTCCAATTCAGACCTATTGAGTCAGAATCTGCATTTTAATGGGGTCCTGGAATGGTTGAACATATGTTAAAGCTTAGGTTGCATTGAATTAGACAAGTAGCCAGATAAATCCCATGCCTGCAATGATTGGCAAATCCTGGTTGCACTGTTCCTGCCAAGCCACAGTTCTGTTGGTAGCTCATAACTCACCCGAGGAAGAGAGGCTGTCCACATGGCACACACATCACACGGTGGCCTCTAAAGCCCTGGCTTCCAGCTTCATGCACACCAGGAAAAGCTTTTGCTGCAGTTCTTACACAATAGAGCTTCTGGAAACCCTCGCTGGCAAAGGTGGTGATGGCTGTACCTTGCTTGGTCCCTGACCCATTCTCACCTCCTTCTTTGCCATCAGGAGGACAGTGTTTCTCAGAGCAGTTCTGATGCTGGCCTGGGCAGCGACCATGAAAGTGACACGCTGACCATCGGTAAGGACTCTGGGGTTTCTCATTCAGGTGGTGCCTGAGCTTCCCCCAGCTGGGCAGAGTGGAGGCAGAGGAGGAGAGGTGCAGAGGCTGGTGGCGCTGACTCAAGGTTTGCTGCTGGGCTGGGCTGGGCTGGGCGGCTGTGGGAGTGGATGCAGCTTGGTGGTGGTGGCCTAATGCTTRCTGGGGAGCCTGGGGCTTGGTCTGGGAGCTGGCAGGGCAGTGTCCCAGAGAACTGAGATGACTGGGGTTTGGGGAATCCCTTAGGGGAGTGGATCTGGCTGGACACCAGATGAGCCATTGAGTGTCAAGCCAGCAGGGAGGGATTTGAACTTAGATACTAAGGAAGGTGAGAGCCCAGGAGATAAGAAACAGCCTTTTAGGCTTTTTTTGGCAGTGCATATGGGAGCCCAGTGTCGCCAGTAGCATGTGGAACAGAAATCATGACCTGGCCATCTCTGCTCAGTTCTAACAGCTGGCTTTTTCCAGGAAGACTTCTGCTTCTATGAACTGTTTGGTTAGCCTCTATTGAGGTAAATAGGGGGAAGCTCCCTTTGAAAGAAAGCTTAGGAAAGGCTGAAAAATCTATGATTTTTTTACTAAAGAATCCCAGCGTGTAAGCTGTAGACACCAGATTTTCAACCTCAGCAAGTCATCCATTCATCCATAACCCATGGAGTACCCACAGTGTGCCTAGTTGTGGTGATATAAAGTGAATGAGATACAATTCTTGTCCCCTGGAATTATTGGAGTTGAGCATGTGGAATGGCTAAAATATCTTGGACAGTGTGGTGTATAAGCAGCAGGCTTCTGAGGAGTAGGCAAAGGGGATGACTGGCCTTTGCTGTGGAGCCTCTGAAATGACTGAACCATCTTTAACTGTGGTCCTTGCAGATGTCTCAGCCATCTCCAACCTCATCAGGAAGCATGTGTCTGAAGCCCGGCTAGTGGAAGACATTGGGCATGAGTTGACCTACGTACTGCCATATGAAGCTGCTAAGGAGGGGGCATTTGTGGAACTCTTCCATGAGATCGATGACCGGCTCTCAGACCTGGGCATATCCAGTTATGGCATCTCAGAGACTACCTTGGAAGAAGTAAGTTGGGTGGCTGACTGTCAAGTATAGCAGCCCCAACCACCTCAAGGTCAGACAGGAAGGAAACAGGATCACCATGGGGTTGGTCATTGAGATTTTAGGTCATTGATATCTGGGTAATGTTGGCCACAGTGAACCAATTAAGATTGTAGTGGGAGATAGCAGGCAGGAAAGAAGTACTAGGATTGCCCCTGGTGTGGTTGTGTTAACTGGACTTATGCATCATAAGAAATGACCGACATTTATAGTCTACTAGGGCCAGGTGCCGAGCTGTATGTTTTTGGTGTTTCTTTTTGATTTGCTTTTTTAAATCTTTGTAATCTTGTGTAATCCTCATAACAAGACAAGAAAATTAACTAATCAGGGATGTTGAGTTGGGATTCAGAATGGGAAGTTTGGGCTTCAAAACCCAGGTTGTTTTTATGAAGTAGTAATTCCTCCCTTTAGAGACACATCACAGACTTTGAGGGCTGGAAGGGCTATAAAAGTTGTCTGGCCTGGTGATTCCATGCTAGATTGTGTAGTAGCCATGTGAGGATATTACTGACAATAAAAATTCCAAGTCTCAATTCTAGTGTCTTTGAATTAGGATTTCTGGAAGTAAGGCCTTACATCTGTACTTCCACTGCATATGTCGTACACAGTGGTCTATAGACAAGAGTTTGGAAATCAGTGGCTTCATTCAGATTCTCCTCTGATGTTTGGACCTCTGCCATGATATTTCTACTGATGGGGAGCCCATGTCTTCCTGACCATTCGGTCTTGACTAACTTAGCACAGTGCTGTTCTACTAAAAGATTTGAAGCCACAGCCTGTAAGAAACCACTTTACTCATTTCCTATAGGTTCCTAACAGATTTCCTCTGTCTCAGTGTCCTGATGTCATAGCTGTGTTTTGAAAATGATTGTCAGGACTGATAGTTCTCACCACTAAGGGAATGTTTTCTGGCAAAAATACCTCCCAAATAACTCTGATCAAGTGTTATTAGTAAATGTAGCTTTTACTTTCTTTGTCTTAGAGGTGGTAATATGCACGTCAATAATATAGTCAAGGTAGTGATGGCTATTCTCATAATGTTGGTACTTATATTGTCACCAACTCTAATTTTTCAGATATTCCTCAAAGTGGCTGAAGAGAGTGGGGTGGATGCTGAGACTTCAGGTAACCCTTTTGAGAGGGACTATACAGTCTGGCTAGAGTCTTGGGCAGGCAAACTTCACTCACCAGTGTTGTACCTTTCTCTTCATATTGTTCTTTTTATTTTTTATTTTGATTTTTTTCCCCTTACACTGTTCTAATACAATCCCATTTTTAGAGTATATGTTTGTTATAGGTAGAGAAGGTTTGTTTTGTTTCAAATAAAGTAAAATGAGRGATTCCTTCCTTTTGCCTTCAGATGGTACCTTGCCAGCGAGACGAAACCGACGGGCCTTTGGAGACAAGCAGAGCTGCCTTCGCCCATTTACTGAAGATGATGCTATTGATCCCAATGATTCTGATATAGACCCAGGTTCGTTTGGGCAAGATCTAGGTTCTATTGTTTGAAGAAGAATTTCTCCTTTATGTTCTTCTCAGCTGGTTGTTATTTTTTTTTTTTTTTTGATGAACAAGATGATAGATTCCCTGGAGGGTCCAGAAGTGGAAAAATGAGAAAAGCCGCTTGTCTTTTTCCAGCTTTGTGCATGTGTTTAGGTCAAACATGAAAGAGCCCATCCTCATCGTTCCTTCAGTTAGCTGAGATCTTAAGATGCACATATTAAAAAAGGACTGCTCTTTTATTGTCTTTTCTGTAGGGTTCAAGTTTCTTGCATACATTAAGTGTTTTATTGTTGAATAAGTATTTATTGAATGGATGAATGATTYTGAGAAAGTCAGGGAGGGTAATTTGCTTTCAGTTAATGTGCCCKTAGATGTAGGTATTTTGGATGACTGTGTCCTTGTGTGTTTGAAATGAAAAGGAGAGGTAAGAAATCAAACAAATTTGATGTCAGAGTGTCTCTGTTAGGAATCATTCATTTCAGACAAGAATTTCTACATGATTTTTATGAACAGAGAATTTTCTCACTGTCCCAGTCCATGGTCACATGAGCATGTGGCTCTTGTGTTCTCCCTGACTTCATGCATTGTTAGTACTTAGATCAYTTCAAATGTGTCCATTTTTTACCAAAAATATAAAAGATTAGAGACTGCCATTGTGTGTTCTCAAGTGTGTTCATCTGCATACATGGCTTGTTCCATAGAATAATCTGTAAGAAATCARCAGTGTCTCCACTCATCTGAATGATGGGTAACATCATATCATCAATGATGATAACACCCAGGTAGAAATGTGTGAACATCTCTGCAGTAGTCTCAAGGCACCTTCATTCTCTGTACTCACCAGACGAGGACTGAAAGACAGAAATTGCTCCTGTTGGACATGTTGAGTCATTAGTTTTTCTTGAATATAGAGTTGTCATGAAAACCCTTTACCTCTGTGAGATACTTTCAGTTTCAAACACAAGCCTCCAAATGGTTTCTGAAGATCTTAGAAGAAGGAATATATCAGGTCAAAAACACCTAACATAATAGKTGACCTTCAGTGTTGGCTTCTTGCAGAATCCAGGGAGACAGACCTGCTCAGCGGGATGGATGGTAAAGGCTCCTATCAGGTGAAGGGCTGGAAACTCACACAGCAACAGTTTGTGGCTCTTTTGTGGAAGAGGCTGCTGATCGCCAGACGGAGTAGAAAAGGATTCTTCGCTCAGGTGAAATATGCTGGTTTCTGGCTTCATGCAGGGGCTGCACACTCTCTGACCAGTGAAAGCAGAATGCTGCTGCAGTCAAGATATAGATATTGGCGCTAGATTATCTGTATTTCCATCCYAGTTCTATTTCTTACCAGTTGTGTGTCTGCCAGCAAATGACTTCTCCAGGCCTCAGTCTCCTCACCTGAAAAATAGAGATAATAATGTGCCTATGACACCATGTTATCCTGAGGATAAACATGAATAAATGCTTAGAATGGAGTCTGATGCTTGGGTTTAGGGGTATGTATGTGTGTATGTGTGTATGTCTTTTATTTTAGAGAACAACATAAAAAGGATCAGAGTTTAGAAAAACTGTTAGGTAAATTCAGCTATCATAACATAAGTGATGTTATGCTCAGATGCACTTGACATATGCACTTATTAGAAACATGATTTTTCTCTAAGTTGATGTTTAACTCAAATGATAAAAAGATACCCAGAGAGATCAGAATGTAACCGGCAAAGAGAAAAGACTTATACTACTGCCTTCAAGTCAGAGTTTGTATGCTCACTTGCTTAGTTAGAAGAGTTAAAATTATTTCACTCTGTAAAAATTAAGAAATGTGGAGAAAAGTTTATAGAGAGTCTTCCTTACAGACTGTATGTATGATACTAAGAGTATGAGTTTGGGACATACAGACCTGGATTTGAAGTCTGGTTGTGTTATTAGCTGGCGTTGTGACCATGAGCAAGTAACTTGACTCTCTGATCTTTAATAACTGAGTTTTTGGATAGTGCCAGTGATAGTAACACCATAAATAACAACATAGGGTAGTAATGATAATTAAGATAATTATCATTAGAGTACTTTCCAGTAGAATTGCTCACTTAATGATAATTTTCTGCATTGAAGCCCAAGAGCCAGAGTCAATATGAATCTTTAAGTTTTTAAAGGATAAGTTTCTCAGCAATAAATGGAAAGACCTTTGAGTTTACTTGTAAAATGTGTATGAGTCATTGTTTTCAGAGTAGGTTTGTAGAAAGTTTGAGGAATTTCAAGAAGGAGTTGCGTATTGATRCTTTGAGAGGTGATCATGGCAGACAATGGCTGCTATTGCTTGTGATTGGAGTCACTGCTTTTAAGAACTGGTTTCAGGATTATGGGATCTGATCTCTTCTCAGTCCTCAGATTTTAATGAGAATACTGAGGCCCTATAGTGGTGATGTCATGTGGGTACACTTGTAGTAGTGTCAGACCCAGGATTCAGGACTTGTGGCTCCTAGTCCAGGGCTTRTTCACTCAGTTTTCTTCTGAGCTGAACTGCGCTCATGGCCTAGTGTGGTCTTTCTCAGTCTTCAGGGGAAGAAATGCAGGACCCAGCATTCTGAGTCACCCTAACGTGGGGTTGCTCTTTACTCTGTGAAGTTCCTAGCCTAGTGCTTCTGCCAGGTGACTAGAGACTCTGGCGTTGTGCTGCCAGATTCTAGAAAGTCCTGGAGGGAAGATGTTTAGTGTTCAGGATCCATTGTTTTCACTCTGCCCACAAGGCCTTGGGCCAGCCATGGGCACTGTCACCCTCCTTCCTGTGCTGCCTGGTCTGGGAACCTGGCTGGACTTGCAGGGATTTGCTCCTTGGACTTCTTTCTAACCTTATCTTTTCCTGCCATCCCCTTRCCCYCTCCAYTKCCTGGTTACAGATTGTYCTGMCAGCTGTRTTTGTCTGCATTGCCCTGGTGTTCAGCCTGATTGTGCCACCCTTTGGCAAGTACCCTAGCCTGGAACTTCAGCCCTGGATGTACAATGAGCAGTATACGTTTGTCAGGTACGTGTTTGTCTTCTGGGCCCAGGGGAGAGGAGGGTTCAAGTAGATCAAGGGTGATCACTGTGCTGAGGGTCAAAAGAACAGAGTCAAGAATTGCACAGTGGAAGGGGTTTTACCAGCTGTGCCTCAGGTCCCTGTGTAAGCTACTACTGCATTCGAAGAACAACAGTGAGCTACCCTTGACTTAGCAGCTAGTCCTCTCTTGGACATTTCACCCCTTCTCCTTATACTGCGAGTGTCAGGACAACCCTGCATATTTTAGATGATATGCCCTTGATAAAATCTAAAATTGTTATAAAATATTTGTATTTTTAGAGTCATGTTTTAATTTTGTTATCTAGTCATAGGGCTTCCATACAATGTCAAAACAGAAGCTTCACATTCTTATTTTCTACATAGTATAATTCATGTAATTATTACCTACTCTTTAAATTTACGGTTTTAGCTAATGTTAATGATTGGCAAAAATACTTTCTACTCCATAGTAATCCTATGCATGAAATAAAAGGACAAAGGAATTTCTGGATATTGTTTGGCAAAGGTTTTCTGGGATTTATAGGTGTATAGATAGGAGAGATATATAAGTGATATATAGAAGAGGTTTTAAAATGAAAATAACATATACYAAACATATGAATTTGTCTCTTTTTCTCCAAACTATGCTTTCTTCTTAATTCAGGTTTACTTGCCTTTTCCCCTTCCTAGCTGTTGACCTTGTATCGCCTRTAGCTATAAAATATGGCATGTGTTTGTGACCTGTGCCTATTATTTTTTGTACTTTCGAGTTGTGCACACAGTCAATAAAATCTGCCTGACCTTCCTGRAAAATACTGGTTATCTGGGCCAAATGGATAATTGTGAAAGTAATTTTGAAATACTGMTCCTTAATGAGTCTCATTACTTCAAATTACAATATATATGTAAATGTGTGTATATGTGTGCATAGGTACACACAGGTACACACATCTTCATACATATTCCAGTTTGGGGTGCTGTATACTACCCAGATGCTGAATATATGGCCAGAGTCCAAGATCCTCATACCTAGTTTCTGTGTTTTATTCATTTTGCTTTTAAGAGCCTGGAATCCAGGAAGTACTTAATAGAGTGTTTAATTTAGAAAACTTTCCTTTMTCCCTGTTCCTGGTTTAAATGAATTACTGAGATGGTTGCTTCCCATGTATTCACAGTAATGATGCTCCTGAGGACACTGGCACCCAGCAACTCTTGAATGCCCTCACCAAAGACCCTGGTTTTGGGACCCGGTGTATGGAAGGAAACCCAATCCCGTGAGTGTCACTTTCGCCATAAGCTGTCTTCTCATGCCTGCCATCTGGTTTRATTTCTGATATACTGCACTTATCAATTGCGTGCCACATTGTAACCACTATTATTTGTCTTTTGAATTACTTTTTATTTTTAAAAAGTGAATATAATAACCTAATCAGACCCATCTAGGAACATTTAGAGAGACTTCTAACATCCTGCAAAGGAAATCATTAAAGACATTTGTTTACTTCTTTAGAACATTAATATTTAATTTAAATAGCACTTTATACTTACTAAATGCTTTTYTCACTTCTACCCCCAACTCCTGTATTTTAGTGCAACAATAGGCTGCCATTGTATATAATTTGCAATTTTGCTCATCAGCTTCTTCATCTTAACAACCTGAAAAGATAAAATAGATTTTTCTAAGAGGGGACACTTTCTTGTTCCATTGCATATTTTTTMTTCAGGATAATGCTTTATTCTTTTATTAAACAACTTTCAGCGTAATGAGTGTATATTTGTTRTGTACCAAATAATCACAGTTGTTATGTCTTTCCTTGATACTCATATAGTCCCATATTAAGCAAATGGGAACCCTTTCAGGTTAGCTCCTGTGTCCCTTTAAACCAGTGTCAGTACTTGAACATTCAGGAACATTTGACCTTAATGTATTAGGTTTACTTCTTATTTCCTGCCTTAGATCTGGAACCAGATATTCATCCAAGATTTTTAGTGTCTTTTAAWAGGAAGCAGTATTTATTTTATTTTAAATTTTGATTTGTTACATATGACAACAGAATGCATTACAATTTATATTACACATATAGAGTACAATTTTTCATAYCTCTGGTTGTACACAAAGTAGAGTCACATCCTTCGTGTCTTCTTACATTTACTTAGGGTAATGATGACCATCGCATTCCACCATTTTTCCTACCCCTCTGTTCCCTCCTTTCTCCTCCCTCCCCTTTTCCCCTTTGCCCTATCTAGAGTTTATTTAATCCTCCCATTGCACCCTCCCCCCCCCGCTGGCATATTATGAATCAGCATCCTTAAATCAGAGAAATCATTTGGCATTTGTTTTTTTGGGATTGGCTAATTTCACTTAGCATTATATTCTYCAGCTTCATCCATTTACCTGCAAATGCAATGATTTATTTTCTCTTTTAATGCTGAATGCTGAATAATATTCCATTGTGTATATATACCACATTCTATATCTATTCATCTACTGAAGGGCATCTAGATTGGTTCCACAGTTTTAGCTATTGTGAATTGTGCTGCTATAAACATTGATGTGGCTGTGTCCTTGTAGTATGCTGTTTTTAAGTCCTTTGGGTGTAGACCGAGGAGTGAGATAGCTGGGTCAAATGGTGATTCCATTCCCAGTTTTCCAAGGATTCTCCATACTGCTTTCCATATTGGCTGCACCAATTTGCAGCCCCACCAGCAAYGTACGAGTGTGTCTTTTTCCCCATATCCTCGCCAACACTTACTGTTGTTTGTATTCTCAATAGTTGCCATTCTGACTGGAGTGAGATAAAATCTTAGTTTTGATTTGCATTTCACTAATTGCTAGAGATGTTGAACATTTTTTCATATATTTGTTGATTTATTGTATATCCTCTTCTGAGAAGTGTCTGTTTGGTTTCTTGGCCCATTTATTGATTGGGTTATTTGGTTTTTTGGTGTTAAGATTTTTGAGTTCTTTATTCTAGAGATTAGTGCTCTATCTGACGTGCGTGTGGTAAGAATTTGTTCCCAATTAATAGGCTCTCTATTTACCGCATTGATTGTTTCTTTTGCTGAAAAGAAACTTTTTAGTTTGAATCTATTCCATTTATTGATTCTTGATATTAGTTCTTGCACTATAGGAGTCTTATTGAGGAAGTTGGGCCCTAATCTGACACGATGGAGATTTGGGCCTACTTTTTCTTCTAATAGATGCAGTGTCTCTTGGTTTAATTCCTAGGTCCTTGATCCACTTTGAGTTTTTTTTTTCTTTTTTTACTACATTTATTTATTTATATGTGGTGCTGAGGATTGAACCCAGGGCTTCGCATGCCTTGCGCGTGCTAGGCGAGCGCTCTGCCACTGAGCCACAAACCTAGCCCCGCCTCCATACACTTTGAGTTTTGTGCATCGTGAGAGATAGAGGTTTAATTTCATTTGTTGCATATGGATTTCCAGTTTTCCCAGCACCACTTGTTGAAGAGGCTATCTTTTCTCTGATGTACATTTTTGGCACCTTTGTCAAATATAACTATAATTATGTGAGTTAGTTTCTGTGTCCTCTATTCTGTATCATTGGTCTACAAGTCTATTTTGGTACCAATACCAAGTTCTTTTTATTATTATTGATCTGTAGTATAGTTTAAGGTCTGGTATAGTGATGCCACCTACCTCACTCTTCTTGCTAAGGGTTGCTTTAGCTATTCTGGGTCTATTATTTTTCCAGATGAATTTCATGACTGCTTTTTCTATTTCTATGAGGAATGTCATTGGGATTTTGATTGCATTAAATATGCATAGTGCTTTTGGTAGTATGGTCATTTTGACAATATTAATTCTGCCTATCCAAGAATAAGGTAGATCTTCCCATCTCTTAAGGTCTTCTCTAATTTCWTTCTTTAGCGTTCTGTAGTTTTCATTGTAGAGGTCTTTCATCTCTTTTGTTAAGTTKATTCCCAAGTATTTTATTTTATTTTTTGGTGCTATTATAAATGGGGTAGTTTTCCTTGTTTCCCTTTCAGAGGATTTGTTAATGATACATAGAAGTTCCTTTGATTTATAGTTGTTGATTTTATATCCTGCTACTTTGCTGAATTCATTTACTAGTTCTAGAAGTTTTCTGGTGGAGCTTTTTGGGTTTCCTAGGTATAGAATCATATCATCAGCAAATAATCCTAATTTAAGTTCTTCTTTTCCTGTATGTATCCCTTTAATTTCTTTCATCTGTCTAATTGCTCTGGCTAGTGTTTCAATCACTATGTTAAATAGACGTGTTGAAAGAGGGCATCCCTGTCTTGTTCCAGTTTTTAGAAGGAATGCTTTCAATTTTTCTCCATTTAGAATAATGTTGGTCTGATAGCTTTTACGATGTTGAGGCATGTTTCTGTTATCCYTAGTTTTTCTAGTGTTTTGAACAAGAAGGTGTGCTATATTTTATTGAATGCTTTTTCTGCATCTATTATGCTGCATCTATTATTTCTGCATCTATTATATGATCATATGGCTCTTATCTTTAAGTCTCTTGATGTGATGAACTGCATTTATTGATTTTTGTATGTTGAACCAACCTTGCATCCCTGGGATGAACCCCATTTGATCATGGTGTACTATCTTTTTGATATGTTTTTGTATTCAATTTGCCAGAATTTTACTGAGAATTTTTGCACCTATGTTCATTAGAGATTTTGATCTGAAGTTTTCTTTTTCTGATGTGTCTTTGCCTGGTTTTGGAGTCAGTGTGATATTGGCCTCATAGAATGTGTTTGGAAGTGGTCCCTCTTCTTCTATTTCCTGAAATAAATTGACGAGTATTGGTGTTAGTTCTTCTTTAAAGGTCTTGTAGAACTTGGCTGTATCCATCTGGTCYTGGGCTTTTCTTGGTTGGTAGGCTTCTGATGGTGTCTTCTATTTTGTCGCTTGAAATTGATCTGTTTAAATGTGTCTATCATCCTGATTCAATTTGGTCAAATCATATGACTCTAGAAATTTGTTGATGCCTTCGATATTTCTATTTTATTGGAGTACAAGTTTTCAAAATAATTTCTAATTATTTTGAAGATAATTTCTAATTATCTTCTGTATTTCTGTAGTGTCATTCATGATATATCCTTTTTCGTCACGTATGTTAGTAATTTGAGTTTTTTCTCTCCTTCTCTTTGTTGCATGGCTAAGGGTCTGTCAATTTTATTTATGTTTTCAAAAAACCAACTTTTGTTTTGCATTTTTTTCARTTGTTTCTTTTGTTTCAATTTCATTGATTTCAGCTCTGATTTTAATTATTTCCTGTCTTCTATGCTTTTGGAATACCTTTGTTCTTTTTTTTCTAGGACTTTGAGATGTAAAGTCATTTATCTCTTGACTTTTTCTTCTTTTAAGGAATGAACTCCATGCAGTGAACTTTCCTCTTAGAACTGCCTTCATAGTGTCCCAGAGATTTTAATTTGTTGTGTCTGTGTTCTTATTCATCTTTAAATTTTTTTAAATCTCCTCATAGATGTCTTCTGCAACCCATTGCACCTTCAGTAGCATATTATTTAGTATCCAGGTTTTGGAGTGGATTTTATTTCTTACATTGATTTCTAATTTCATTCCATTATGATCTGATAGAATGCAGGGTAGTATCTTTACTTTTTTATATTTGCTAAGGGTTGCTTTGTGGCATAATATATGTTCTATTTTAGAAAAGGATCCATGTGCTGCTGAGAATAAAGTGTATTCTCTTGTTGAAGGATGAAATATTCTATACATGACCTTTAAGTCTAAGTTATTGATTGTGTTTTTGAGTTCTATAGTTTCTTTGTTAAGCTTTTGTTTGGAAGATCTATCCAGTGGTGAAAGAGGTGTGTTAAAGTCACCCAAAATGATTGTGTTGTGGTATATTTGATTCTTGAACTTGAGAAGAGTTTTTTTGATGAATGTAGATACTCCATTGTTTGTAGCACATATATTTATAATGGTTATGTCTTGTTGATGTATGGTTTCCTTGAGCAGTATGTAGTGTCCTTCTGTATCCCTTTTGGTTTACTTTAGCTTGAAGTCTACTTTATTTAATATGAGGATGGAATCCCCTGATTGTTTCTGCATTCCATGTGAGGGGTATGATGTTTCCCAACCTTTCACCTTCAGTCTGCAGATGTTTTTTCCTATGAGATGAGTCTCTTGGAGGCAGCATATTGTTGGGTCTGCTAGTTTATATCTTTTGATCCGTGAGTTTAGGCCATTAACATACAGGATTATTATTGAGGCATGCTTTGTATTCCCAGCCATTTTAAAATTTTTGGTATTTAACTTGATGTGGTTTCTCCTCGGATTAGTTTTTCCTTTAGTGTAATCCCTCCCTGTGCTGATTTTCATCATTGTTTTTCATTTCCTCTTCATGGAATATTTTGCCGAGGATGTTCTGTAGTGTAGGCTTTCTAGTTGTGAATTCTTTTAACTTTTGTTTATCATGGAAGATTTTTATTTCATGAAATAAAACTAAAGGTTAATTTTGAAAACTAAAGTTTAATTTTGCTGGATATAAGATTCTTGGTTGGCATCCATTTTCTTTTAGAGCTTGGTATATGTTGTTCCATGATCTCCTGGCTTTGAGGGTCTGGGTTGAAAAATCTGCTGAGATATGAATTGGTCTCCTTTGTATACATGATCTGATTCTTCTCTCTTGCAGCCTTTAAGATTCTATCCTTATTCGGTATGCTATAATGTGCCTTGCTGTAGATCTGTTGTAATTTTGTAAATTTGGTGTCCAGTAAGCCTCTTTATTTGGTTTTCCAATTCATTCTTCATGCTTGGGAAATTTTCTGATATTATCTCATTGAAGATTTTGTGCATTCCATTGGTTTGAAACTCTGTACCTTCCTCTATCCCAATAACTCTCAGATTAAGTCTTTTGATGGATAGCAAGAATTATGGGATACCATACCAAAATTCTTGCATGTTCTGTTCATGGCTTCTTACTATCTTCACTGTGTGGTCAACTTTATTTTCCAGATTGTATACTTTGTCTTTATTATSTGACATTCTTTCTTCCAAGTGATCTAGTTTGTTGGTTATACTTTCCATTGAGTTGTTTTTTTTTTTTTTTGGTTTATTGTTTCCTTCATTTCAAGGATTTCTGATTTTTTTTTTTCAGAGTCTCTATCTCTTTCTTGAAGTATTTGTGCTCTTATCTCTTTGTTGGAGTGATCAATTTTTGACTGTATTCGCTCACTTAAGTCATTCTTTAATTCACAGATCATTTTAATTATGAACCTTCTGAACTCCTTCTCTGACATTTCATCAACTTCACTGTCCATGGGTTATGTTATTGTAGTATCCTGGTTTGTTTATGGCACTTTCCTCCCCCCTTTTTTTTTCATGTTGCTGCAGTACTGATCAGATTTGTAGTTACTGATGTCCTTTCCAGGCCATTTATCTATGTTTCTTCCTTTCTTGCAGTGTGGATCTGAGATATTACAGTTTCTACCCCATATTCTTATAGTACCTGTGTAGATTGTCTGTACCTCACCTTGATGTTGGGCTTCTACACCCTGCTGGTGTCCCTCAATGTATGCTACTGCAACTAAAGGTGGTGGCAGCAATAGCAGAGGTAACATGAGATAATAGTGGGGGTGCCCCAAGATGGATGCAATGTCTTATAGAGATGGGGCTGAAAGGGTGGGCCTTACACTGTTTTTGGGATGCCTGCTCTGAGATGCAGCTGCTTCTAGGCCCTGACTGTTGTCAAAAGGTAGGGGCTACTGTGTGAGGAAGGCTATGGCGATGTCTGCAGTGTCTCAAGATCGAAGTGGGTTAGGCTTGGGCATCCAGGTATGTGTGTGGGGGTGGTGAACTTGGACCTACTCTGGGCCTGTCCCACATATGTTGATGTGGGTGGATCTAGGCCAGGCCTGGGCTCCCATGGTGTTCTGTTGGTCTGAAGAGGTGGTCCTGTGCCAGAGCCTGAGTTCCGGGGGGTGTCTGCGGATGGCGGAATGGACCCAGGCCTACTGTCCATTGCATATTTTTAGCCTAYTTTCCTACAGAATATTTTTTAAAGAGTAGGCAAATTAATTCAGCGATCATATGCAAACAACTCTTTGAGTTAAGGGGAAAGCAAGTCAGGAGATCATGTGGTAAAGACAGTGGTGGCTTCTTGTTCCTGTGTCTTCTCTTCTACAGTTGTTGCAGTACTGATCAGATTTGTAGTTGCTGATGTCCTCTCCAGGCCAGTTATCCAGAAAGATAGACCATCAAAACAGAAAATTCCTTAGAAAGAAATTACTTAGAACTTTTCATGCTCAAAGATTCCTGGAACTAAGTTGCATGTGGGAAAGGGCAACCATCCTCGCTACCCCCACTGAAATTCCAATTTTAGGTTTATAGAAGGTGGTAGGACTGGAGAAAATTTGACTGGGTACTTCTCAGTGGTCTGTAAGTTCATCTCAGCCAATTAATTGTCTTTTGAAGGTTTTAGGAGCCAGCTTCAGGAGGACACAATGTCTTAGTTTGACTTTTCCATTTAGTCAACAGGCTTTAAAGAGTGGGAGATCAATCTGAAAGGCTGTTCATTTGATTTCTTTTAATATATAAGAAGATTGTATGAAGTCTGTGGCTCTATTTTAAATTGTAGAATTTTGAAACTGGAAGAGAGACTAGAAATAACAAGTCATTTTATACTTTTACCAGTGGAAAAAATAAGCCCTGAGAGGACAAGGAAGTTGCTGATGGTTTCATAAGAATTCAGAGTTCAAGTCAGAAATAAAGGCCATGTGTTTTGTCTCCTGGGATGCTTATACTAGCTCTTCATATACCAAGCATTCTCACCCTACTCGCCCCACCCCCCTGAATTCTCTACTCATTTTAGAACATGGATTGGATCTTGCCACTCTCCACAGGATTTTTGGCACATTGAGCATAAAATCCAGACTCCCTTCCCAGGCTCCTTCTGGCACCTGCCTCACTTTTCTCCTTGTTTATCATCTCTCTTCTTCTTAGCTTATCACATTCCAGTCACACTGCCTTCCTGTTGTTCCTCAAATACAGAAACACTGCTTCTCAGGGTCTTCCACCTGACTTTTCATTGCCTCTGCTTGGAGTATTCCCCCCCCCCCATAACTTTGCCTGGCTTGTTCTCTCTCATCATTGATGTTGTGGCTGAATATTGTTTCTTCAGGAGGAGGCTTCTTCCCATGTGCTCTCCCCTTATTTTATTTTTAGTCATATAAAATTAAATTGTTTATTTGCTGTCTAACTCCTTTTTGGCATGCAGATGCCATGAAGGCAGTGAGTTTGTCTTGCTCACTGCAGACTCACAAACATGCACAAAAGCACCTGGCTCATAGCCAATGCTCAGTGTGTGTGTTGTTTCAACAAATGTTGGTGGCTGGATCAAACAGAGTTCAGTTTATGAACATTTAGGATCTGTTTGTATTCTATTTTCTTTATCTATAAAACAGTGTTGCAAGGCTGTTGTGAGATCAGATGATCAAACAAGGCTATGCCCATTCTTTGTAAATGGTGAGGGATGGGCTTATGTTTGTGGTTGTTACAGAATGATCCTGTGCTCTTAAGGCAATAGGAAAGGCCAGGCCCTCTCCAGTGATCCCGCCCTTGATGCTTTTCCTTTGCAGAGACACACCCTGCTTGGCAGGGGAGGAGGAGTGGACTACTGCCCCAGTTCCCCAGACCATCATGGACCTCTTCCAAAATGGGAACTGGACAATGCAGAACCCTTCACCTGCCTGCCAGTGTAGCAGTGACAAAATCAAAAAGATGCTGCCTGTGTGTCCCCCGGGGGCAGGGGGGATGCCACCTCCACAGGTGAGTCCCCATCAGAGTAAGACTGCATAGTTCATGCAGGGTCAGCAGCCAGCATCTGCTGGGAGCAGGAATGAGTGAGATGTGAGATTAGGATAGTTTATTTCAGCCTCGAGGTTAATGCTTATCATAAGGAAAAGCAAGGGAGTTTTCAGGGAAGGGGATTTGGACCACAGTGTATCTATGCCTGTCCCACAGTGTTTGTGTCACAGGAAAGAGAGTGGAAGGTGTGGCTTCTAACCCTGGTTCTGCCACAAATTAACTGGTGGCCTTCCAAAAGGCCATTTTAATTCTCTGGGCTTCCTTCTTAACTGCTAGATTAGGGAGGCTGAACCAGAAAACTTTCAATGGGCCTTACCAGTTCTGTAATTTTTCTGAGATTTCTGAGTTTAGCACAGTCATCTGAGCCTTTTTGTTTCTTCCTCACAATTTTAGGAAGTCTTGTTTGTGCTACCTTTCTGCTGCTTTATCAGCATCCAAGTTGAAGGGTGAGAATAAGGCATTTTAAGCTGATGTAAAAAGTCATGGTTACCACTCTAAGTAGCTAATCCACTCAATGAACTCCAATGAACACAAGAATTCACTAGGCAAAGTTTGTGATTCTGTGCCCCAATATCTCTYGTGGTAAAGAAAAATCACATCTCAGTGCTTATTTTTTAGCTATTTAGAGTAATTCCCCAAGGAAGATCTTGGCATGCTATACATGAATGACCAGTACTGAGGGAAGCATGGACCAGATCTTGGTGGTGGTTGGTGGAGGGTGATGCCTGGGCCCTGTGGTTAGGGCTGTAGTCACACAGTGGCATGTGTTGGAGGAACATGTGTCACTGTAGCCCTTGATATGTTTTATGTGCCAATTCTTCTAAGAAGACACACATGCTTGATTTTTATGTCGTGACAGAGAAAACAGAACACTGCAGACATCCTTCAGAATCTGACAGGAAGGAACATCTCGGATTACCTGGTGAAGACGTATGTGCAGATCATAGCCAAAAGGTGACTCTTTACRCAGTGTGGCCTGTGTTTTATCATCCCTGATTAGAGGAGTTAAAGGCCTACAAATAGTGGACCCACATGGTGGGGAGATTGCCAGAGTATGGCTTGATGTTTCTACTGGAAGTTTAGGATGTCATCCCAAACTAGAAATGATGCATAGAGGTACTGTGAGCATTCAGTTTTTAGCTTAAAGGTTGAGGCAGCCTTGTCTAGAATGAAAATAAGTATGCATTCAAATTTGAATTCTACCACTAACTAGTTGCTTGACCAGGAGCATTATCAGGCAGAACTTTAATCTGAAAAAGGGAGTGGTGGTGGTTTACCTCCAGGTTAAGGGGACAACTCTGAGTGACAGTAATCAAAATTTTCTCTTTGTTATCCTTTTAAAACTCTAATTTGGGGCTGGGGATGTGGCTCAAGCGGTAGCGCGCTCGCCTGGCGTGCCTGCGCCCCGGGTTCGATCCTCAGCACCACATACCAACAAAGATGTTGTGTCCGCCGAGAACTAAGAAAAAATAAATATTAAAAAAAATTAAAAAAAAACTCTAATTTGGGGGCTGGGAATATAGCTCCATGGTAGAGTGCCTGCCTACTATGCACGACATTCTTGGTTCAATCTCCAGTATTGTGGAAAAAAGTCTTAATTTATATAAAAGTGATATTACTGTTGCTCCTACAAGTTTGTTGTGAGAACTAAATGAAGTGATATGTGTGAAGTGTCTTAGATGCTCATGTGGTATCATGGGGAGAACCTTGAGAAGATATAGTAGCTCGTGGCTATGGAACCTTGAAGCTTCTGGGACCTGGCAGCATAGTGTCAAATGTTTAGTTAATGCTCAGAAAATTTGTGTTCTGGTTCCCTTCCCAGCAGCTTGATAAAGAGGGGTATCTGTGTTAGAAGCTCAGTATCTTTAAATGATAAAGCTGTTCAAAAATGTAATGACCTTGAGTCATTAACATAACTTGTCCATATGTCATTTATAACTGATGTATTATTTGAATTGAAAAATCTTCTAGTTAATTCATGCCTTGGTTTGTAAGGTGGTTTTTAAAACTGGCTCAACCCAAGTATGACCTTAATGTAAGGTTTTTAAGATAGAATACAAGGTATGTTGAGAATAGGCTTCTTTCCATCGGTACAGTCCTGTAGTGCCAGCCTGATGATAGGATTACTTCTGGTCCTTTCTTTTGTCTTCAGGTAGATGTTTACTCCTTTTGCATCATCAGGTATAGCATCAGTTTTTCTAGAACTGATTTTTGGTTTCTGTTTTTATTTCTGCAGCTTAAAGAATAAGATCTGGGTGAATGAGTTTAGGTAAGTTGATCTCAAGATTTTCCCTGGTGCTTCTAGTCTTGGGAGAATGATTTTTATGCAGGTATATTGGATGGGGGGAAGCTGTTGGTTTCGGGATTGTTTGCCCCTCACACACTCCTGGGTGCCACATCACTGTAAGGAGAGAAAGGCCCTGTAGAATCTTTGGAGCATGTGGGGTATAGACAGGCTTAGATTAGACTTGGATTTTCTGCCCAGAGCATTTCTACTCCAGCTGCCACTTCAGAGGCCTTTGAACAATTTGGTTCACTGATTTCCTTAAGGGCACTTAGAAATCTCTTGTGGGTCTCCAGGGACTAGTAACATTATGAGGGAAATACCTATTCTAGTTGCAGTTTTACCCAAATCAGATTCCCAGGGGTTCCCAGGGACTCAAGAACAATTTTTCAGGCCTTTGGCATAAGATCAAGAAAGTCTTGGAGAAAATAAAAAGCATTTTCACTGTATTTCAATCCATTTGTCCCTCTGGGTCTTGAAGATGTGAGGGGGTAAGGAAGCATCTTTGGATCCAGTTTGTATATCATGGAAATGAGATGGCTGGTGTGACTTCCTCAGGGGACCTTAAAGGCTCCCTGTTACTGTTTCATACTTTTCTTCCTTGCCTTGTCCCCAAGGACCAGGATCTTTGAAAACTCTGGGCAGAGCAGAGTAGCCCTCATGCTAGTAAAGATACAAGGTCTCTTATCCCCGTCTGGCCCACATGGGACAGTGTCCCTCACCACCTACCCTTCTACCCCATCTGCTTGCCTACAAAGGCAGTAGTGAATATGAAATAAATGACCTTACTTTTCTCAGTGTCTCAGATATCTAACTATAATCAGACCCAGGACCTCCCTACTGGGCAGCAACCCAGTTAATAGCTTGCTAGAATCCAAGGTATAACTCGTCTGAATCAAACTTTGGTTGAATAAGCAATGGGTCTCTAAGAGGCTTGTCCACACTCATGTGGTGCCTGMTGCTGCTGATCACATGTGGCATACTGGGTTTTAATGTCAAGCTGTTCTTCTAGGTATGGTGGATTTTCCCTCGGTGTCAGTAACTCTCAAGCACTTCCTCCAAGTCAAGAAGTTAATGATGCCATCAGGCAAATGAAGAAACACTTGAAGCTGGCCAAGGTAGTATATCCATCTTGAGACATGTTGGAAGAAAGGGCTTGGAGCTGCTGGGACATGAGCATAGTGGGCAGATAGATCTGACCAGCTAGCAGCTCATTGTTCAGATTATCTTTGACTACTGAGCCATAACTGGTATTCTGTGACTTCAGCAAGACAGGATTGAATTATTTGGTGTATACTTAAAATCCTGAAAGTGTAGACCACAAATAGATTCAGAGATTTAAAAGTTCTTAGAATAACTGTTTGTCAGTTTGGCCAGTAGTAAATAAACTGGCCTTCAAGCAGACTTCCAAAACAATCACTAACTAAACAGAAATGGATCAGTTTCATTTTTAAGTTGGCTGGCTGGTCTTCAGGTCCTAGTGAGCACACACTACATTTCTCTGTATCTCAGATTTCCCATTTTGAACTGAGAATTGAGGGAGTCATATGACATGGATTTTGTGATCCTGTAATAGTCCTAGAGTCCAGTCTGTACTTCTGCCTTTGGAACACAGGCCCTAATGTCTGACACCTCTGCACATAAATTGTGGTTGTAGTTCTTGGGATGATTCCAGGGGAACACTTGGAAGAAATTCTCATTGCCAGGTTATACAGACAACAGTCTTGGGACTTCAAGCCACAGGATTTCTCAGATATTTTTAAGACTGTGGCATTATGGAAACATTCATGCTGTAGGCTTCTGGTCAGTTGGTTCTCAGGAATCATTTAATGGCTTTAAATTTAATTTTAGTGTGGTAGTGGTGGTGTTGCTCTTGATAGGGGTGTCTTGTTGTCCACAGCTTCCGGACTGACTGTTGCCCTTTACCTGTTTGAATCATCACAATTGAGGTGGGTTTCTGTTGTTTACAGGACAGTTCTGCAGATCGATTTCTCAACAACTTGGGAAGGTTCATGACAGGACTGGACACCAAAAATAATGTCAAGGTAAAATGCTATCTGTGTTTTACTAACTTTTTGGTAACCTATCCTGTTCCCTGAAGTATTTTCAGCCATAGTAAAATTGATAGGGGTATTCATGACAGAAAAGAGCAAATGGTTAAATCCACTAGGGAGGCCGTGTAGTGGAGTGATTAAGAGAATTTGTTTTGTTGCCAGACTTTAAAGGTGAACCACTATGACTTTGACTTGAATTACTTAACCTTCAGTTTTCTAATCTGTAAAATGGGGACAATAATCATGGCTCTCTCCAAATAGTTATGGGGAATATATGAATTAAAGATACAAGGTCCTCAGTACAACCYTGGGCCCCATTGTCGGTGGTTGTATCCTTGTGTTATCACTCTGCCATGTTCTGCAGTGTTTTGTATTGGTATATGACTTGAGTTTCTAAAATTTAGGTGCATGATTTGTGTGTGTGTGTGTATGTACGTACCTACTTCTGAGAGTAGTGTTTAGGAACATTATCTTTTACCTGCTATGTTTTATCTCAGGTGTGGTTCAATAACAAAGGCTGGCATGCTATCAGCTCTTTCCTGAATGTCATCAACAATGCCATTCTCCGGGCCAACCTGCAGAAGGGAGAGAACCCTAGCCAGTATGGGATTACTGCTTTCAATCACCCCCTGAATCTCACCAAGCAGCAGCTTTCAGAAGTGGCTCTGTAAGTATGGCTGTGTCTAAAAGAATGGGGTGAGGAGAGAGTACTGGGGAAATCTGGAGCAGGAGAGGGAGATAGAAGGCTCCTTGTAGGGTAGCTGTTGCACAGTCAAGTACAGTATGTATGTCTGGGTCCATCCAGACTCTGGGCAGAAAAGATCACTTTACAAATTGACCAGCAGGGCCTTTTTGAATTGTAGAAGAAAATGGCACAGATATGTAAAAATCATTATATTTGGTGAATTCATATAAATCAAGTTGAAAATTCTTAATACAATCCTAAAATAAGTAAATTCACCATTAACACATAAAAGTCAGTTTCATTTGTTTTAAAACTTTTTTAACCCAGTGAAACATGCTTTAAATAGTTTGACTTGAATTTTTCTTGAATTTGTGTGTGTGTGTGTGTGTGTGTGTGTGTGTGAAGTTTAAAGCCAGTACAGTCTTTGGAATTATAGAGATCTGGGTTTAAATCTAGACTGTAAACTTTCTAGATGTCTGATATTAAATGAGGCCATTTATGTAAATTGCCAAGCCAAGCTCCCAGAGATGACATTCAATATGTCAGGTCCCCTTTCTATAAATGGAGCATGGTGCAGTTAGTTTCTACTTAATTCCTATAGAATATCAATAATGGACACTAGGGATCTTTATACCAACACCTTCTTAATTGGCTTGTAAAGTGTCTTACAAAAAGAATCTGATAGAATTGTTATATGTGTTAGATTGGTATGCTACATTATGTTGYTCTAAAACTTACTTAGAGCAACAAATATTAACTTATTTGAGTAGTTTCATACCATTATTTTTTGTGTGTATGGATATTTATTATTTACTGCTCTTACAATGTTAAGAACAATGGACAAGGGGCTGGGGTTGTAGCTCAGTGGTAGAGCACTTGTCTATCACATATGAGGCACTGTGTTTGATCCTTAGCACCACATTAAAAAAATAAAGGTAATGTGTCCATCTACAAATACAATATTTTTAAGAAAGAACAATGGATAAAATTGAATATTGTTAGACCACACCCAGACTTCCTTTAACAGCTTCATATGGCAGTGGACTCTTTTAACCTTAGTGAAATCAGCTTTGCATATGATTTTTAAAAAATAATACCAGGAATTAAATCCAGGGGAAGTTTACCACTTAGTTACACCCCTAGCCCTTTTTATTTTGACTCAGGGTCTTACTAAGTTGTTTAGGGCCTCACTAAATTTCTGAGGCTGATCTTGAACTTTCGATCCTCTTGCCTCAGCCTCTCTAGTTGCTGGGATCATAAGGGTACACCATTATACCGGGCTCAGGTTTGCATTTGAATTGTCATTTTTTTAAACTTGCAAATGATCATATTTAACCTTGAATAAAACATATTTGGTGAATAGATGTTTTTCCCGAGCTTTCTTTGGATGTGTGTGTTTATGTATGTCTCTCTCCGTGTGTATATCTCCTCATTTGTTGTATTTCCATAATAAATGCATCAAAGACATCTCTGATCTTCACTGCCTTTTTTCTTTCTAGGATGACCACGTCAGTAGATGTACTTGTGTCCATATGTGTCATCTTTGCGATGTCCTTTGTCCCAGCCAGCTTTGTTGTGTTCCTGATCCAGGAGCGGGTCAGCAAAGCCAAGCACCTACAGTTTATCAGTGGAGTGAAGCCTGTCATCTACTGGCTTTCCAATTTTGTCTGGGATATGGTAAGGGCACAGGCCTCCTATCTTTGTATGAATCTCCATCAGGGCCATGAAATGGCATATATAAGATAGAGCACCTGTCACTGAGAATTGTTCCAGTTATTCTAAAGGTGCATGAAAAAGGGAATGGGAGAGACACTTATACACTTCCAWAACTCCAAATATGGTGCTGGATGCAGAGCTGACTTCACACAGGAAAGAATATCTGACTAACTGATGACAGTTATTACCCAATTTCCTATTTGAAGACTTTCCSAAGAAACAGAAATGGAAGGACCTTAGTCTCTCCCAAGCCAGTACTTTTAACTTCTCTGATAAATGTTGACCTATAAAGTCAAGATATTCTTTATCTTGTTAGGAAAGCCATATGTTCTTTAAAAACYCCATACATTTTATCATAAACTTATTCATTCATTTGCAAATATATTTTTGTACCAGCTATAATTAATACATTGCTTCTATTTGGTCCAATATGGAAGCCTTCAAAGAATTCTGAAGTTCTAATAATAAAGTGAAGTTGACCTATATTTCCTTATGAATTCCATGAATTCTAAGCCCATAAGGAACAAATCTAGTTCTTTCCTCTTTGGATGGCTCCTCAGATATTTAAAGACAACTCTCATCTAACCAAAGTCTTCCACAGATGAGATGATATATGAGAACACACTTAGTCATCTCTAAAGCACTGTAACAATGTGAGTGATAATGATGGAGATGATGATGATGTCTTTACTTATTATACTAAGACTCTAAGACTGGCCCCTGTGTGATCTGATTGTCCCGTCATGGCCATACTCCATATTGTTAATGTCCCTTTTGAAAAGCAAGGTCCAGAATTAACCTTGTATTCAGGCGATGGTTTGAATGGTTACAAGTCTAGAGGGAATTGATCTTTTTTCCATACTTCTATTCTGCATTTTAGAAAGAGCACTGTMTTATTGGCAACTTGATAGTGAACTGGAATCTTACTTCACAAAAATGACTGTTAAATTGGATAGCTTTTGTGTTATGCTAATACAATTAACTTTTTAGAACTTAAACTTTATGCTTATCCCTTTTAAACTGCATCTAGTTAAGTGTCCATTGTGTCTTGTTTTTGTTTTATCTTGGTCCAGTAATTACTTCATTCATTTAAAATATACTGAGTGCTTACTCTATGTCTGACTATGCCAGGCATAGGAGATTCAGAGATGAGATGGAGTCCCTACCTTCAGGGACATCACTTATATTTTTGTATATTATCTGCCTCTACCTGGTTTAGAATCTGCAGTTTGCTATCAGCATATCTTCATCTAAGTTGTTGATAAACACATTGAATAGGATAGGACTAATGCAGAGTCCGGTAGCCTTAAGCTGCAATTCTTTTAACAGCTGACAAAAATCACTGTCACCTCCCTGCCTGTGTTTTGCCCTGCCAGCTATGAAATCTCATAATTGTTCTATGGTCAGGTCTTTATTTCTGCATTTTAATGCTTGAAGCAGTTTCAGAACAGACTTTCAAATTATTCTCAGTGTGATGAAACAATTCTGACATTCATGTTATGAGCGCTTACCTCACAAATAGATTACATGTGAGATTGAACTTGGGCAGACTATAATATAGCATTAATGATGAAACAGACACAATCATCTCTGGGAAGAATAATGGAAGCTTATTTGTCTCCTGTGAAATTGAAATTCCTCCGACTGAGGATCCATCGTTCAGTGAGTTTACTGAGCGTGACACCTTGGCTTAGTTGTGAGAAAGACAGAAAGGGCATGCAGTTTATAAAACCAACCAAGGGTAAAATGCTTGTCACAATGTATTGTCCGTATTTTGATTAATAGTTTATGTGGCTTCATTAATTCAAAGTTATTCTCCAATATGTTTGTCTGCCCTTTCTTGTCTGGTGATGGTAAAGACTTGGAATGTGCTGTATTTTTGACTTACGAGTTAACTTTATTTCCTTGTTTTCTCTTTTAGTGCAATTATGTGGTTCCTGCTACATTGGTCATTATCATCTTCATCTGCTTTCAGCAGAAGTCCTATGTGTCCTCCACCAACCTGCCTGTGCTAGCCCTTCTTCTTTTGCTATATGGGTAAGGCACTTTTGGGTAGAGGACTCTGAAAGTGGGTAAGGCATATAGTACCCAATTTCATAGGGAGGGTAGAGGACTCCAATGGACATATATCTTCTTGTCTCACCAGGTGGTCAATCACACCTCTTATGTACCCAGCCTCCTTTGTGTTCAAGATCCCCAGCACAGCCTATGTGGTGCTCACCAGCGTGAACCTCTTCATTGGCATCAATGGCAGTGTGGCCACTTTTGTGCTAGAGCTCTTTACCAACAATGTGAGTTCTGTAGAAAGAGCACCTCCTACTGGGATGGGCACTTCTGGGTGCCAGAGGACAGTGGTTAATTATGATCTTATTCTACTTCTCTGTGACTTTGGCTCTGCTGACTACTCCATCCTGTTTCAGATACTGCCTTCTGTGGTCTACATAATACCTTTGTCTCCTGCTGTGCCTTATATTTCCCTGCCAAACATTTCAGTTTCTTCTGTCAAATTCTTTTATGCTTCCATTTCAGTGTCACTTTGCAAAAGGCTCAGTCCTCTGTCAGCTTTGCTTTCCACTTGAGACACCATATCTGGGCAATGCCATTCAATCCCAAGGTGTGCACCACTGCCTTTCTCAGTGTCTTATTGTCCTCTCAGATTTATGCCTTGATTGTTCCCTGGAACTCTACTCTCCCATTTTCACATACCTRGTGGATGGCTTCATTTAAATAACTTATAGATACCCAGAACTGGATATGTCATCATCTTTCCCCTTCGAACCTAGTGTTTCTCTTGCCATCCCTGTCATACTTGCTGGCATTACCATCCAATGCAGTTGCCCAACCCAGCTCTCTTGGAATCATTCTTGATGCTTTGCTATTGTTTATTTCACATGTTTGACTGGTCATGCCATCAGTTCTTTCAGTTACACGTCTCATAAACAAGACTCCTTCCATTCCTGTTGTCACTGCCTTTGTCCAAATACCTTAACTCAGCACACAAGGGTTTCATAGATGAACAACCTTTCCTGGCCACTTCCCCCTACACCCTTTCTCAAAGCCCTGTAACTTTAGCAGAGTTGTCCCTTAAACCCAGCATAATCCTGTAGGCCTGGCTTGAAATGCCCTTCTTCTATTGCAGAGCCTGGTACTATTCTCCCTGCCCTTCAAGATTTAGCTCAAAGGTGATGTCGTGCTACTCTGCCCTTTGGGATGTGCTCTCTTTTTCCCTGGGCCCTCAGAGCCGTCCATTCTGCCTCTAGTACCACACATATCCAGTTACATAGTCGTTTCCTATTTCCATGTTTCTCTTCCTAACCACAGAGACTATTTATTCATTAGCTTTTACCTCTCCCATGCCCCAGCACAGTGCATCTTACAAATAGTAACTTCCTTAATCCCTGGATATGTGGCCAATGTTGGCTGGGTGTCATAATAATTTTTGATGTATTTAAGAAGATTTTTATAAAATTCTAGCAAAATCCTAAAATTCAAATATTGACCCAGACACAAGCAATTTGCTTTTAAAATATTAAGCAAATATTTTGTTATGGATTTGCTTCTGGTCAAACATAGCCTTGTTGCTATTCTTTGTTCATTTCTTTATACCCACAGCATTACTCCAAAGTTTTTTAAAAATATGGAAAATGCCTACTCCTATTTATTGGTATCCAAATTCAAAGGTTCATTTTATCCCCAGGGAATCAAATTGTTTCTTTACTCCCATCTTTCAGACTTGGATACATTTTTAGCCTAAACTATGATTGATATCCATACTTTCTCTCTCTGTTATCTTTTTAGAAGCTGAATAACATCAATGATATCCTGAAGTCTGTGTTCTTGATCTTCCCACATTTTTGCTTGGGACGAGGGCTCATTGATATGGTGAAAAACCAGGCAATGGCTGATGCCCTGGAAAGATTTGGTGAGTGGAGCAGTGGCTGCTAGAGGCTTCAGAAGAGATGGCAATTGCATGGGCCTTGGGCCCTAGCTTTTGTTTTGGAAAGGGACTGATGAATGGGCACTGTATGTCCATATTCTTCTTGCCCCACTGAATGTTTATGCCAGTAAAGCTGTTCTGGTGTAGTGTGACATAGCTATTTATCTGTGAAAGGGCATTTTTGGGAGTAAAGAAAATGCTGGCATTTGCTTGGACCCAGTGCTTCATGCTACTACTTGAGTTTGTCAGAATTACTGAAAAAGTAACACAGCGTTGGGACTTAGATACAGAACAAGAATCAGAAGGAGAGATGTACACTTTGACTCTATTCGGAAAATCACAGGCCTGGAGGTCATATATTATCTTTTACACAATCTATAAAAAGATAATTCACTGCAGCTCTTTCTACCTTTAGAGTGGTTAAAAATATTTCTCGTATCATCATATGACTATCATTCATCTACTGACTAATGTAGTTAGATGGGCCATGTTATTTGACGGACACAGAAGAGGGACTTTCTTCAACTTGGAGGTACAAAGGAGATGTATAAGGAATTTAAGGAATAGTTAGATAAAATCAGGTGACTTAATTGAGTCACTGGGTTACATTATGTGCCATTGAAATGGTCATCTTTTTAATGTGCTTTCTAGTATTTCTTATTGCTAAAACTTGGAATTCATTAAAATACTGATCTTAAAAATTATCCTGGATTGTTTGCCTTAATCTAAAAGGATTTTTGGCCTATCTCATTCAAAAGATATTAGCTATCTGACATGAAGTTACAGATCTAAGACATGTTGGCTCTAAAATTCTGATTGATACAGGGTAGTAGTATGTTCCCACAAGTCAGATTTGAAAAGTAGTCACTCTCATTATTTTTTCTCCTTTTCTTTGGTAATAGCCATTGGTGTTTCTAGGAAAATAGGTGAACTTGACCCCATGTTTGAAGAAGGGCATGGTTCTTGACACCTTAATTCTGACTTTATTTCTGTATTTTGTTTACTAGGGGAGAATCGCTTTGTGTCACCACTCTCTTGGGACTTGGTAGGACGAAACCTTTTTGCCATGGCTGTGGAAGGGGTGGTATTTTTCCTCATTACTGTTCTGATCCAGTACAGATTCTTCATCAGACCCAGGTAAGCTTTTGCTCAGAACTCATGGAGCACTTGGTAGAGGGTCATAGAGGGGACACAGGKAGACACTTGCCAAGGATGGTTGGATCGAATTTGAACTCAAGAAAATCAAATTGATTTTCCTATTATGGGCATCCTGCAACCCCTACCCTGCCAAGGCTGGAAGTTGTGGCAAGTAGGTTTTAGGAGATTGCTTTAGAGACTGGATTTTGTTTTTAAAAAGAGTTTGAAAGGTTGTTTTTCTTAAAATTTTTCTTCTAAGACCAGTGAAAGCAAAGCTTCCTCCTTTGAATGATGAGGATGAAGATGTAAGGCGGGAAAGACAGAGAATTCTGGATGGTGGAGGACAGAATGATATCTTGGAAATCAAAGAGTTGACTAAGGTGAGATAGTGAGTAGGGGCTATTACAGGCTTAATTTTTCAGTTGTATGTGCTGGAAACTACCCTAGTTGCTTAATGAAAAAGTTTACTTCCCCAAATGTGCATCTATACTAAGCTACTGTCAATTTAATTTTATTTTAAAGATACATGGAAACTTCTTAATTACAGAGTCTACTGAGAATACTTTTGTAATGTGAATTTCCATTCTCAAATTTATTTATTTTACTTATATTTATTTGTGTGTTAGTTATTAAAACATTATATTGTTATGTTGTGTGCATGTACAGATATGTAACAACAAATCCCATCAATATGTACAACTATAATGCACCAATAAAAAATGAAGAAAAAACATGCTAATATTATATATCTAGTCAAAACTGAGGTATGGAGAATAAATGGTTGATTTTTAAATTTTATAATCACCAAAGCTGACATGTCTCTATTGCTCAGAAGGAGGGTCTGTTTCAATGCCCTCTTAGATGGCAGAATCCCAAATTTCACTTTTTGTAACACGTAGAGTATTTGAAATACTTTGATTGCAAAATTTTATCCTGTAGAATCTAATTTTAGGCTGGGGTTGTGACTCAGTGGAAGAGTGCTTGCCTAGCACATATGAGGAACTGGGTTCAATCCCTGGCATCACGTAAAAATGAACAAACGAAGTAAAGGTATTATGTCCCTCTACAACTAAAAAAAAAAAAATTAAAAGTAAATTAAAAATGAACTATAAACAATACATGGAAAAATATGTAGATATTAGTGACTGATATATTTTTTAAAAGACCCAGATTAAAAATTAAAAAGAAATTCACTTTTATTTTGAGCTTYAAAGTTACACCTGGTTGGCAGAGAGAGAAATGGCTCTTAGCACATCATATATGACTTAGTCTTATTGATAGAGTCTTATTTCATGGCGTATTTGGGTTATAATCCTCTCTGCCACAGTTGCTTGGAAGAGCTGTGAGTCACTGAAGCTCATGAATTTACATTTTGTTTGTTGCAGATATATAGGAGGAAGAGGAAGCCTGCTGTTGACAGGATTTGTGTTGGCATTCCTCCTGGTGAGGTAAACACACTTTGTCTGCATTGTGTTTGTTAATTCACACTGTATCTATCCAATCAAACAACCATGTTTATAAAGGATGAAAGTGGCTTTCAAAGCTTCTCTCCTTATGCCTGTGTGAAGCAATCAGTCATCAAGAGATTGGGGACCCCTTATATCAAGAGAATGATTTTGGATAATCTCGGGCATTTTAAGAAAAGCATGTAYACCCAAAACGTGCTTTTGTGATCTACTTCATAGGATGAGATTCAAATAGATTTTTAAAAATAGATTTTTCTCCTTTTCATTTCTGATGTGTCCTTTTATGCCCTATAGTCAAATAAGGTGGTATAATTTGACTAACTGGCTTTCATTACTGTTTTTCACACATCCATTAACTTTTGTCTTAATCTGACAACTCAAATGGTATTTAAAAATACAGACTTGCTGAAAATGATCCCATTATAAAAYACATATTTAATATCTGTATGGTGTCCTAAACCAAAAGATATTTGATTTGTCATTGATATTTAAGAATGATGTTTCAGGATGATGTCATATAAAAATGAAGCTCAGTTGGCTATTTTCTAGGGTTGTTCAAATTTAGTTTTAGTAGTTTGATTATACAACTCACCTGGTCTTATTCTTTCAGTGCTTTGGACTTCTGGGAGTTAATGGTGCTGGAAAATCATCCACTTTCAAGATGCTAACTGGAGACACTACTGTTACCAGAGGGGATGCTTTCCTTAACAAAAATAGGTGAGAAAAGAAGTGATCTGTATTTTGTTACAAGGACTTTTTTTTTTTTAGTTTTAAAGAAACACATTGTTATTTTTTGATTATAATAGTACCCTTTAGATTTCATAAAAATGTTTAAATATAGTAAAGTTTAAAGAACAAAAAATTATCCATAATTTCACTACCTGGAGATAACCACTCTTTACATTTTCTTTCAGTCTTACTGCATCATTTTAACAGTGTAAATTACTTGTTTTTATTTTTTTAAAATAATTACTTTTTAGTTTTAGGTGGATACAATATCTTTATTTTACATTTATSTGGTGCTGAGAATCGAACCCAGTGCCTCGTGTATGCTAGGCAAGCACTCTACCACTGAGCCATGACCCCAGCCCAATTACTTGTTTTTAAAGAACAATTCAGTAATTCTTAGTGAGTTCACAGAATTGTGCCATCATCACTACAATCCAGTTTTAGATGTTTTCTATCACCCCAAATCTATCTTTCTACACATATAAATGTATCATAAAATTGAGATTATTCTGCATATAGGTTTAAAATTAGTTTTTATTGTTAATGGTTATATTATGAATATTTTCCAGTGGGTTAAAAATACATTGCTCCATAAAATTCCTCTGTGTACATGTACCTATAATTTGTTTAATCAATTCCTTATAAATGTTTGGCATTTATTAATTTTCATTTTTTATTATATAAATATGTGCTTGCATACAACTTTTATTGTTTCTTTGTATTAGTTTCTACAAGGTAATACCTGCCAGCTCATCTTCTAGAAAGAGTGGACCCACTGATGAAGCCATCACTAGGCTGATTTCTGAGACTGTACAGTTACCAAGCAGTCTGGTCTTTGGGAGTATAGCAGCACATTAGAGGCCTGTTAGGCAGTATTAACCTTGAATGCTCTAAATATGTGGGGTTTCTTCAGGCTTTCTATATCGATACATGGTACAAAGGCAGTGACCTTCAAACTTTTCTGAACCATGATCCATGTAGGATATAATATTTTATACTTTAGCCTGATACACAATACACACAAGATACATTAACACACATATGATTTAATGAAATGTTTCATAAATAGTACCTGCTGTTACTACTTAAAATACACTCTAATAATTCTTATTTTATTCTCTATCATGTCATTTAATTTTTGTTGTTGTTGTTACTGGGGATTGAACTTAGGGCACTCAACCATTGAGCCACATCCCCAGCCTAATTTTGTATTTTGACTAGAGACAGGGTCTCACTGAGTTGCTTAGTGACTTGCTGTTACTGAGACTGTCTTTGAACTCAAGATCCTCCTGCTTCAGTCTCCCAAGCCTGTGGGATTACAGGTGTGCGCCACTGCGCCMGGCCTATCATATCATTTAAAAAGTGCTGGTTGTGGATTTATTTTATAACTCACTAATGGGAGATGACTCTAAATTTGAAAACACTGAACAGRGGAATACCAATAATATTGAAGAGTAAGGAAATTGATGTACTYGTTGATCTTTTTTCCCCCTTATCAATCATTTCAGTAGCAACTTAAGAACCTTAAAAGAACAGAACTTTTGGGAATAACACTGTTCCCCAGGCTTATTTCTAATGCTCCTGGGGCACTTAGCAATGGCAGCAGTAACTGGCTCAACCTAAGGTTTATCATAGTAATGGGTTATAAGAACTGACTCAGTCATAATTCTGGAGAAAGCTAACACTGGGAGTTCTAAATAGATAAGCAGAGATGAATGACCACTTCCAAAAGGCCAAGTTCAAGTAGTACTTTTCAAATGACATGTTAGAGAATAGAATAAGAATTATCAGAATGTACTATTAGTAGTAACAACAGGTACCATTTTATGAAGCATTTCATTAAATCATATGTGTGAGTGTTAATGTATCTTGTTGAGAGTGAGAAGTGCAGGCATGAAAATGGGATATAGACACTGAAATTTTCATACATTAGGAATTATGTATGAAATTATTATGTAACCTTATTGGCATCAAAGAACCTAAAAATTGCCCCCACCCGTAAGATTGTAGGTGTATTTTTATGTTTCCACATGTTCAGAGGGTCTACAATAAAGGAACAAGCAAAAAAACCTTAAAAGCTAGGAGGGTATCTGGGCTAGGTATTTGGTAGGACCAGGATATCTGGAATATGCACACTGTGGTTGAGTCAATGTATGGCTCAGCAGAAGGCAGAAGGGAGCTCACACCCAGGATTTCTGGGTCCAGATGGTCATGAAGACAACTTTGGGCTGACAATGCACTTGGTACATATGACCACAGGAGCAATTCTGGGATGAAGATGTTTAAGCTCCAGATAGTGTTATTTAGGTTATTGGTAAAGACTGCTGCAGTGGGCATGGACTCAGGGATTTTGAAACAGGACTGAGCATGCAAGTTTGAAATGCAAGGATAAGGCAGGGTAGAAACAGAAACCCTGACAGATGGGAACAGCTGTCATCCTAGGGGCAGAAAGGCTATTCCTTTAAGCAGCAGATATTGGTATCTTTGTAAAGCACATGCATATTCTATAGGAATATTAACCCAGATTGTCTGATTAGAATATGTCTAAATGCTTAAAACCTAACAAGTTTTATTTTCATTTGCAGTATCTTGTCAAACATCCATGAAGTACATCAGAACATGGGCTATTGCCCTCAGTTTGATGCTATCACAGAGCTGCTGACTGGAAGAGAGCATGTAGAGTTCTTCGCCCTCTTGAGAGGAGTCCCAGAGAAAGAAGTTGGCAAGGTACCATGGATACTAGAAAGCCAACCTGTCTCTTTGGCATCCTGACACCATACCTTACGGATTTTTCCACATATGACTACTTCAGGCTGTTTTCCTCATGCATGGGTGGGAACCCATAATGGTGGGGGGAGTAGGGGTGGGTAGGTATGCATTGGTTGGGGGTGTGCAGAGAGGGAGTACTGCTCCCATCACATAAATTTCCTCTCCTTTTTTCTGGTACCTCTGTAGTTGCAGGTCATGATTATAGAATCCAGTCTTAATCAAAGAACTTTCACATATAAGTGTAACAAAGCATGCTAAAATTACCAAGGCAGACAAAAGTCAAGGTGCTTTATCTCTCCAGGTTGGTGAATGGGCAATTCGGAAACTGGGCCTTGTGAAGTATGGAGAAAAATATGCTGGTAACTATAGTGGAGGCAACAAGCGCAAGCTTTCAACAGCCATGGCTTTGATTGGTGGGCCACCTGTGGTATTTCTGGTAAGTGTGACTTTGGGTGGAAAACTACTGTTCTGGCCTGAATGGAAAACAGGCCATTGTATGACTGTGTGGCAGAGCAGCCTTCAAGAAGAGGGAAGCTTCTTTCTTGGCACAAGCAGGGGTGACTCTGTTAAATAGACACCCCACGTACTTGGCTTGGAGAATCCCTACAAGTCTGTGAGGCTGAATGTGTGATTTGGTCTTCTCTGGAACATTCTTTCTTATCATCCATGTGTTCATAACCTGAATATGGAGAGTGAGGACACAGCTTCAGATCCCCTTAGTAGCTGGGTGTGGTGGTGTACATCTGTAAGTCCAGTTACATGGAAGACTGAGGCAGGAAAATCACAAGTTGGAGGTCAGCCTGGGCAACTTAATGATACCCTGTCTCAAAGTATTAAAAAAGGGCTGACAATGTATCTCAGGGGTAGAACATTCCTGGGTTTCATCCCCAGTATTAAGAAAAAAAAGATCTCTTCACYGGATCTCTTCCTTAAGAGAGATAAATGAAAAATACATTAGAAAGCAGTGGCCTTTGATCTCCTTTCTTTGCTAGAGAAGAGCACTGAAGTTATTATAGGAAGAAACCTTGGGTTGAGGCTATAGAATAATCTAGATCATATGAATGGTCTAGTCTATAATTGGGTAAGCTGAAGTAGATTAGAATAAAAAGAGAAGAAAAGGAATTTTACTCAAACCTTATCCTGACAAAGAGAATTTTTAGTATATACTTGTTAGTAATGAAAAGATGATTGAAACTAATGGCTCTTTACCTTCCCTATTTATTTGGAGAAATTTGTTGAATTTTTAAAAAAATTCCTTAGAATATTTGAGTTTCTTGCTTCAATGAGACATTCATAAAAGTGAACTTGTTCTAAGTGAGTTTGAAATTTATTCTGTTATTTTGGTTCAAAATAACTAAAATAGCAAGTTAAAACTTATGATGTTTAAGAATGCTTCAGCTTTTAAAAACAAGTCTATCTTTGGTGTTTTATTTTTAGCAAATGATAAAACTTATTTTACTTTAATTTCAGGATGAACCAACCACAGGCATGGATCCCAAAGCCCGAAGATTCTTGTGGAATTGTGCCCTAAGCATCGTCAAGGAGGGGAGATCAGTAGTGCTTACATCTCATAGGTCTGTAGTGAAGTCTTGGCTTGGCTTTTACATTGTGTTATTTGTAAATCTGCTAAATAGTATATATGTTCATTTAGTAAAAGCTAGAAAGTACAGAAAGGCCAAGGTTACATTTATCAYCTGAAATTGTATTACTTGAAAACATCTATTGTTCTCATTGGCTTATGCATGTTTGCAGGGATTTCCTATGCAAACTTATGTGTACTTGTGTGTATGTATTTTTACAAACAAAAATGCAAGCATAGTATATATACTCTGATCTTTTTCACTTAATATTATTGTCAACATTATTCTAAGTCAGTAAATTTAAGTAATGCCATCATCTCTTATAGCTGAATGGTATTCCATTAGTATATACCCTAATTTATTTAATTCTTTCCATTTGTTAGACATTTGAATTGTTTCCAACTTATTCACAATTCTAAATGGCACTGCAGTGAGGAGCTTCATCTGTATATTGACATGTCTTTAGAATAGGATGTGATTATGCACTGGAAGCTGGGAAACTTTTTTCTTTGAAATGCCAGATGTCATGGTGATGATTATGGGAGCATGTCTCTGAAACTAAAASTTTGTTCTGTTTTCCCACAGTATGGAGGAATGTGAAGCTCTTTGCACTAGGATGGCAATTATGGTCAATGGGAGGTTCAGGTGCCTTGGCAGTGTACAACATCTGAAAAATAGGTAAAAGAGACTATTTCTTTAGGATAGCACCTATTTAGAAACCTTGATGATTATTATTTCATTGGTGAATAAATGGTAGCTTAAAAATAAAGAGAAATTAAACTGGGAAAAATAGTATGGAGTAAAGAATCAGGGCTTTGAAGTCAAACTGAACCGTAGTCAAATTCTGTCTTTATTATATACTGGTTGTTTGACTCATAAGCAAGTTACTTAGACTTTCTGAGAGTCTATTTCCCAGGAATAATACTTCCTGGCTTTGCTTTATTTATGAAATTAAAAAACTCACATGACAGTGTGATTAGCAGCACAAGTTTTGGAGTCTATGCAAATGGGTTTGCTTCCTAGCTCTACTACTTAGGAACTTTGTATCATGGGCAAGTGACTAACTCCCTGGGCTTAAGTAACATCTGTCAGACTTCATGGATCCAGGTGAGGATTAAAGACACTGAGAAACAGGACACTCAGCATCAGGGCACTGAGCATCGGGCACTGCTCATAGATTCTCAATAAATGATAACTGGTTCCTTCTCTCTGAAAATGATCTCTGGGTCTTTCAGGGACCTCCCATTTTCATGGCACAAGTTGGTTTCTCAGAGGTAAATATTCTTCTGAGAAGTTTCCTGGGGATACTTCATTTGGGTGKTTTTTTTTTTTTCCTGCTTTCAGGTTTGGAGATGGTTATACAATAGTTGTACGAATAGCAGGATCCAATCCTGACCTGAAGCCTGTCCAGGAATTCTTTGGACTTGCCTTCCCAGGAAGCGTCCTAAAAGAGAAACACCGGAACATGTTACAGTACCAGCTTCCCTCTTCATTATCTTCTCTGGCCAGGATATTCAGTATCCTCTCCCAGAGCAAAAAGCGACTCCACATAGAAGACTACTCTGTTTCTCAGACAACACTTGACCAAGTAAGCTTTTAGTGTCAAAAATAGATTTTCTTCCCAGGTTGATGATTCCTGCCTACTCACACCTTCACCACAAGCCTGAGCACAGTTCAGACTATCTGTGCTTGAATTCCTCATCTATGATTACTAGCAATGCATTTTACTAAACCTCTCTGAACTAAAAAGGAAGATAATGCTTTCTACCTGATAGAATTATTGTGAAAATTTACTGAATTAATAATCAGAACAACTATAATTTATTGAGTACCTATCATAGATAGGACATTTTGCTATGTGCCTTGTCCCATTTAGATAACAAAAACTACTAAACAGATCCTGGCATTTGATAGGTTTTCAGTAAATGTTCTCTTCACTCTTCCCTTTAATCAWTGGAAGTTGGTGATGTGGGATTAACACAGAAGATGAATTTTTAAATGATTATTAATGTTTTTCAAGTATCTTATCTTCCCTCACACAGTTTTCTAGTTAATCTACTTTGCAATTCTGTATTCTCCTACATGACCTAATTTCAACATGAGGACAGTGCAATTAGAATAAAACTGCAGCTAGAATAAAGAAAGAACAAGTCAAGAGGTACTTATAAAGCCCTTCTTTGTTTTGACAGGTATTTGTGAACTTTGCCAAGGACCAAAGTGATGATGACCACTTAAAGGACTTGTCATTACACAAAAACCAGACAGTAGTGGATGTTTCAGTTCTCACATCTTTTCTACAGGATGAGAAAGTGAAAGAAAGTTATGTATGAAGAATGTCGTTCATACAGGATGGCTGAACATAAGGAAGAACGAGATCTTCCTTTTACACTGTGTGAAGTGTTCCAGAGGAACAGGCTGGAAGTTTTTGTGGGAAGAAGTAAACTGGATACTGTACTGATACTATTCAATGCAATGCAATTCAATGCAATGAAAACAAAATTCCATTACAGGGGCAGTGCCTTTGTAGCCTATGTCTTGTATGGCTCTATGTGAAAAAGACTTGAATTTAGTTTATTACCTTTACCTATGTGAAACTATAGTATGGAACCCAGTGGACATTTGGGTTTGAAGTCATACTTTTTTGTTCCTGTGTATCCTCACTGGGATTGCAGCAACAATTCATCAAATAACCATGGCCAGTGATTATCAAAATCAAAGGCGTACATCCTCATCCATTAAGCCATCCCATTCCAGGAGACCGGTTTCCTGGTGACACAACCATTGCTGGCAATGAGTGTGCCAGAATTACTAGTGCCAAGTTGCTCAGAAAGTCTGAAACACCGTAGTGTGTAACATACACCTTTGTAAAGCTGCTCTTCTCAGAGTCTATCAACATCATTAAATATCAGGTGACAAAATGGTGCCATGTACGGCTAACGTCCTTCTTTGAGTCCCTTTTTGATGAGCTGCTTTGGTGGCTGTAATATGTAAAGTATGGATATCTACACACAGGAAACTTGGTTCCATTGTTATGTTGCCCCATGCTTGGGAGCCATGGGTTTCTAGGGTCTTTCTGGGACTGTTTAAATATACTTAAATCCTGGTAAGAAACAAAGGCTTAGCAGCCAAACTGTTGGAACTGTAAGCTGCTGAAGTCAAGGCATGGGATTAAAGAGATGGTGTATTCAAACCTAGTGCCCATTTGTCCTGATTGTTAACACGGTACACTGCATCTCAAAAATTTTGTTATTTGACACAGGTGTAGTATTATTTCTGGMTTTTTGAATTAATCTAGAAATGAAAAGATTGAGTTATATTTTGACAAAAATCTTTGTACTATTATGTCATTTGGARTTTTCAGTTATATCAGTGATTTCTGAAACCTTAGAATGACCTCTTTTAGGACCTGTGGTATAGAGGAGTATGGTCACACTGCCTCACTAGCTTTATTTTTCCTATACAAATKTGCAGATAGAATGTCTGACTAGTGCCTAGTGACTATAAAACAATGTGGTGGTCAAGATCTCATGATATTGTTGTTGAATTTAAAATCACGTAGAATACTCTTAAATCAGTTCATCAATCAAGTATTTTTTGAGTATATGCTATAGCTGAATGTGTACGTATAGATGGATGGATACAAAAGAGAAATTAAGAAGAGAAATTAAGTCTCAGTAGATTTCCCATGCCATGTTATTCAGCTAACTGGTTTACAAAAGATAGGTTGTTTTATTGTGATTATGGAAGCCCACTTAAAGAATATTGGCTAGACTTTTTTTTTTCTTTTAATAGCAACAGTGCAAAAGCCAGAAAAGGTCACAAGGCTGAACAATGGATTCTTTCAAAGAGAAATCAGCTAGCTTGGGAACTTGTTGAATACAACTTGTACTTATGACATTTAGTACCTCCACATAATTGGTTCTGCAGAAATGTTAGACACCCCATTAAATCTCTGACAATCTCAAATTTTGAATCTCTTCAATCATTAAACTATCCTGAAAAAAATAAAAACAGCAAATGCTTCCACAAAGAATAGTTTTCAGACTTAATCTTATTTTAGTTTTTAAATAAAAAATATTATTTCACTAATGCTCAGTGTCATCTTTCTTGAGACAAAACAAAAATATGAGGGAATTGCTATTTGGCAAAGTTCAAGTAAACTTTCAATATCATTAATTTATCTTAACTATTTCTAAAATTTAAATATTAACTCTAAAGGTATACAATTTCAGATATATTTCAAATGTGTATGTATATATATGTGAATATATATATACATATATATTTAGATTCATAGACTGTTAAGCAACTCCTGGCTTAAAAAGAAAAATGATTTTCAAAAAATTAATGTCATTATTTTCTAAAATGATAAAGCATATTTTCAATAACTATTAGCATGAGATTACTACATTCATGCCATTTTCAAAGATATAAGAATAATTTAGTTTCTAAGAATAATTTAGTTTCTCATTAATTTTAAAAATAAAATCAAAATCTGGTGGTTTTCTCATTTCATCATGAATCACTCTCATTCACGATATTAAATCCATGAGTGACTCTTTGCTTCTAATTACTCTGACTTCAAGGTCACATTTTAAAACTTCAAAGGCACTGTGAACTATTTTGAGAAAAAAATTAAATGTAGATTTAAAAGGGTCTTTCTGAAGCTAGAAATAATATACAGTTCTACATTAACTTCATTATTATTGTGTTACCTTTTAGACTATCCAAACAGTAATCTTAAAGTTCCCTGTGTAAACTTAATTATGGTAGAAATTTTTACCAACTCTATCCTTAAATAAAATTTCTGTATATTAACTGTGGAAATGTAACTATGTGAGTTTCATAAATTCTCAAAAAGTGTTCAAAGATTTCTRCTCTTGCATCTTTTGGATACCTTGGAAAACTTACTAACTGTGAATATAAAAAATACAAAAGAAAATAACAAGTCCTCTCTATATAAATACCTAGCACTATTCATTGTTATAAAACAAACAACCAAACCTCAACTACTGTATTTTGATATCTGTACTGAAAGCATTTCTTTGTGACTATTAAATGTTGCACATCATTCATTCACTGTATAGTAATCATTGACTAAAGGGATTTGTCTATGTTTTCTTCTCATGGTTGTATATATCAGGTAAAATTTTTTCCAAAGAGCCATGTGTTATGTAATAATGAACCACTTTGATACTGAGATATTAATTTGTATTTACTAGTAATAATGTAATACCATAGTTAATACTGCTYTAATTCTTTTCAAAATTATTGCATCCCTTTTTATAGAATGTTTATATTTCCATAAGGATTAGGTATGCTATTATTCCTTCTTATACCCTTGAGTAAAGCTGTTCTTGTGCTTTTTCTTTATCATTGGCCCTTCATTCCAAGCACTTTATGCTRTCTGTAATGGATCTATTTTTGCACTGGAATATCTGAGAATTGCAAAACTAGACAAAAGTTTCACAATAGATTTCTAAGTTAAATCATTTTCATTAAAAGGAAAAAAAAACAAAAAAAATTTGTATTGTCAATAACTTTATATGATGTATTAAAAAGGCTTATTTCTATGTTGTATTGAGTCACGAAATAAAGCTGTGACAGTTCTGTTGTCTATGCAAATTTACTTTTGTGGATTCACAGCACCACCTGCTGTTGAAGTGTTAATAAAGCCATTGCAAAAGTAAGAAGAAATGTCCCACATAGATCTGGGGTTGCTATTTGGATCAAAAGTAAAAATTTTAGAAAAGGTTCAAATATCTTATTAATCAAAACAGAACTTGGGACCACTTGAATAGAAAGTGGTGTTATGCTCTTTCATAATTCAGTTGAGATAAGAATAACTGATATTAAGAAAGTTTAAGAGGTTTGTAGATGAACTTATTCTGTGCAATGATTGTTAACCCATTAAGTCTCAAGCTTTCAATTCTGATAACTTAATATTCAAATATTATTTCAAGGTTATCAAAGAGGCATATTTGTTGCTTAAGTTTTTATAGGTGTTCCACATCTGGGATGATGGAATAAAATGAGCTAAGCTGCAGAGATGTCTGAACATACTCTKTAGCTAAGCTTCTTTAATAAAAATTTCACTTTGGTTTTGAGGCAGTTACAAAGGCAGCCTTTGTTGTGCTTCTGTTTAACAAAAAATACAAGAACATAGTATAGCATGTCTACTGGCAAGGTGCAGTRATGAAAAAGGTGAGCACACAGCAAGAGTGGCAATGTGGAAAGAGAAATACCAACATCAAGATGCCTTCACCTGAAATAAGTGCTGTGCAGTCTACACACAAGTGGGTGTTATGATGAGACAATGCGGATGTACTTTTGATAGCTCATTAAGAACCAGTCTCATAAACAGATGTATGCTTATGTTGATACTTGAAGAACTTCTGTCAAACAGTCCTTTTTCTGGCAGCACGTGAGTCCTGGTTCCACTTGATCTCTTTGGAATAGCTGCAATGACACATGGTTAAGTGGTCCTTCTGCTGAGGCACAGATCTGAACTTTGTGTACAGAAGTTTCTTGGCTATTGAGTAGCTTAGATGCCTCCTCAGTATCTGCATCACAACTTCACCCTCCCCTGCAATGTTCCCATCAAGTGACTTTAACAAAATGATAGAAAACACTGTTTGCAAAAACTCCCAATAGAGAGGGAAACAAACAAAAACTATAGAAAAACAAAACAGTAGTTAATGTAGATGAAAATAAAGGTTACCTATCAGTACTGTCCAAAATCTAGACAAAAGCCTATATGGACTTTTTCTAGATTCCAAAAATTCTAGACCYTTTGGAATGCATATATTAAGAATGGAAAAGTCTAAGAAAACCAGCAACTTCTTTCAAGTTTTTACTGTGTTGTCAGACACTTTCTTTGATCTTCAACTGATTCTGTTCTATGAGTTAAGTAGTACCATTTTACATGTGAATAATTTGTAACTCAGARAATAAGGAATTTGTACAAAGTTATAGGGCTAAATGATATAGGTTCTTTTTGTTTAAGTTAGATACCAGATTTGTCCTTGTAAAATCTGCTTTCACCATCATTGTTCATAATTTAAATAATATCTAGTTTTATGTGTCAATCACTCTTCTAGGTTCTGGGGCTACAACGTTGAAAACAGAATTCTGGCTTTAATAAAGTAATATATTGGTGGAGAAGCACAATGTATGTGTAGACAAACAAATCTGATGCAATAAGTGCTACAAAGAAAAAATGTGGTGATGGGTTAATGATGGTAAGGAGTCAGAAACAGCCTGAGGAGTGGCCTTTAAGTTTAGATCCAAGTTTAATAAGCAGGAGCAACATTTGAAGGTAGGTGACAAGAATACTCCTGGAAGAAAGAACACCTAATACAAAACTCTAAGGGGAAAAAAGCTTTGCAAGTTGAGGGAGATTAAAAGAGAGAGAATATTCCAATGTTCCTGGTGCAGAGTTAGCAAGGAGAGAAGTCATAGGAGATGGAATCCTAGAGAGGGCAGGAACCAAGTCTCATAGGATTTTGCCACCAAGGTATTTGGATTTCACYATGGAGCTCATGAGACAATGACAGAAGATAAAAATGTGCAAATCAACCATATGTACATGTGAGTTTTAAGTCATGAGACTGAATGAACTTACGTAAAGTGAGCAAAAAATAGGGAATGTTCTTGAGCCTGAGATTTATAAGAAAAGCCAGCAAAGGTAATGGAGAAGGACTGGCCAAAGAGGAGGAGGAAAATTGGAGTATGATGCCATACATTGAAATTCAAAACATTATGTWTGGGGAAGGCAGTTGTAAATTATGTCCAAAAACTTCTGAGAAGATGAGTAAGGTAAAGGCTAAGAATGACCACTACACTTGGTAAGTCGCTTTTGTAAATCACTGCAGCAGACTGACAGGATGCAGACCTATCTAGAATGGATTCAGGAAGAACAAGAGATGAGGATACAGTGAATATACACAAATCTGCAGGGGGTTTTGAAGAGAAGCAGAAAAACAGGACAATAGCTGAGTTACAAAAACTTTTATTTGGTCTTGGGCCACCACCTCAAACAAGAAACCAAACCATGGTCTCCTGGAATAATGTGTGCTTCTTTTAAGATGATACCCAGAAAAATAGCATTCTAGGTGATGGAAGTTATGAAAAATGTCTCTCTAGGGAGCGTTATGCTTCTTCTAACATACTGCAGGTTCACACTCCTTTGAAGACTGAATCAACTGCGATTTCAGTTGCCATAACAGGCAGCTTTGTAGGATTTGGTAAGGAGCTAGTCCTGAGAATGAAGTTCAGAGGGTGAGTCTATAAACAGCATTTACTTGTCCTCTGGGAGTTACGTGGTGGGTGTGGAACCAGATCAGATGGGTCACATAATCTGTTTCTCTTCCTCCACAGTCTGGGATAATAACTTATAACCACCAGGCAATTAGTATTATTTTTGCACCCACAGCAAGAACTTTCATTGAATCGATCATTCACTGTGTGTTTCAGGAATACTTTCCAGAGGTTGGTAAGGCACCTCCAATATCAGTCAGGTAAACCACTGTTAATGGTGGGCAACATAAAGTGTGTGGAGGATGATGAACTTTTTTTTTTTTTTTTTTTTAAACTCAAACATCTTGTATTAGTCTGTTTTCTATTGTTACAGCAAAATATCTGAAGCTGGGTAATATATAAAGCTCATAGYTTTAGAGGATGAAAGTCCAAGATCAGGTGGCCCCTGATCAAGCCCCTGTTAAAAGGCCTCATAGAAAATGGCATCATGGTGGAAGTATGTGAAAGAGGGAGAGATCACACAAGACAGGAACCCAGAGAGATTCAGAGGTAGGCTTGCTCTTTTTATAACAACTTACTCTCAAGGGAACAAAGGTCCCAAGAAAACTACGTTTGTCATCTTATGGTATACCCYATGACCTAACTACCTTACACTAGGCCTCATAGTTTAAATGTTCCACCATCACACTGAAGCCAGAATTAGACGGGCAGTCAGTGTAGATAGGTAAATTGAGTCAGGTAGGATCAAGAAGGCCAATTTTGAGTCTAAGAAATTGGAGACTGTCCCCTGAGGAATGAAAATGTTAATTCCTTCAGAGCCCTTCCTCCACCCTTATCAAGAATCTGTTCCTGGTCCAACCTGCTTCCCAGGTAAACTTTCCCAGGTAATCTTTCCCAGGATTTTCCCCTTCCTACAGTGAGCTATAAGGTTGTTAATGTGTCTTGGCTACTCCATTCTGCTCTCCCYTGCTTCAGCCCATCTGTTACCCACCTTTTGGCCCTCCCACTGAGCATTCCTGGGCCTAGTCACCTATGCAGGAAGGAGAAAGATAAAGAGGAAAAGGCARGAGAACAAAGAAAGCCTARRACATATAAAAAGGTCAGAACATCTCCACTCTGGGGATACCAGGATACCAGCTATGGCCCCTTTCTCCCTTGTGGGAGAAGTCTATGTTACCCCTTTTAAAATAAACCCTGCTTCATATGCTTGCCTTGGTGTGCTTCTCTAATGTTCAAACTTCAACATGTGGGGAAGCAGGATTCATCACTGATAACAGGCAGAATCAACACCACCACTACAATGGGAAACCAGCTTCCAGGACATGAATCTTAGGAGGACATACTCAAACCATATCTAAACCACAGCACATTCCACGTGTTAATTCAATCAACAAATAGTGAGGGCTTACCATATTCCAGGCAGTGATGACACTACAAAGATTAAAACAATAACCCCTATTGTCATGGAATTTAGTTTCTAGTAGAAGAAGACATATAATAACAAATCATAAATATGCAATATATTAATTATGATAAGTGACAAAAATAAGGCAGGGGTGATAGACAATGTCTTACTTTAGGCTGCCATAACAGAAGAACATACACTGAGTGAGTAGTTTAAACAACAAACATTTTTCACAGTTCCAGTCTAGGAAGTCTGAGATAACAGTACCAGCATGATTGAGTTCCAATGAGGTCCCTTTTTCTAGTTTCTTCACATGGCACAAAGAAAAAAGAACTCAGGACTTGTCATTCCCTTATAAGTTAGGGCATCAATTCTATCCTGGAGGTTCCAATTCCTCACAGAAACATAATTACCTCCCAATGGCCCCATCTTCAAGTCCAATGAAGCCAGATTTAAAGTTAGGTAGTCAGTGTAGTTAGGTAAATCGGGTCTAATATGGAGTAAGATCTAAAATGGAGGCCATGTTGAGAATGAATTCCTGAAACGCAGGACAACTCATGGAATGTTAATGAAGTCCAAGAAAAAGCCCATGGCCAGAGCCCATCCCAAAGAGGTGTTAATAAACAGCCCCCAGCAAACATGAAGATAGCCCATCCCAAAGAAGTGTTAATGAACAGCCCCCAGCAAACTTGAAGGTGCTAACTCAGAAGTCCTTCCTAACCAGATTACTTCTTTGGCCCACCTGTGTCCCACCCCTGGGCCTTCCCACCTACATTCCATCACTGAAAGAAACTATAAAATGGAGAGACAACYGCACTTCCATCTCTTGGGTCCCCTTCTTCCTCTGGGAGAAGTCTTTTCTGGTGTCCTTTAATAAACTTATAATTTTCCACTCTGACCTTGCCTCGGTGTGCTTCTCTGGWGTTATTCTTCAACAYTGAGGAAGCAAGGACTTGTCACCGGTCAACAGCGGTAACACCATCATGGACAGAATACTGAGGCAGTCTATGTAAACTGCCACGGCTTACCTTTCCTGAATAATATCACCTTGCATAATAGTTCAGATAAACTACAGAGCACATGGAGCAAACAGATGAGAGGAAACTCTACTCTCCATTTTCCTTAAAAAGCTAATTAATTATTTACTATTTAAGTTACAAAATATTTTAGAAACATAAAATAACAGCTATAAATATAGAATATCAAGAGAGCCTTGGAGTACTAAACCTGGTTTAGAATGTGGTGGCATTAAGTAAAATGGAAATTAAAGAGGTTTCAAAGAAAATGCAGTATGGTAGTACTAAAGGAATTCTGCTTCTGGGGGTTGTCAGAATGGTGTTTTCATGATGTAACTTAGTATTTACAGTAAAGTATTACTATGTTACTATAGCAATAGAAAGGGCTCCAGAGAAGAGGATATAACTATAAAACACAAAGTCAAAAAAATCAGAATGAATATATATATTTTTTATTAGGGTAAACATTTCTATAATCATAAATATTTCTTTAAAAAAAGGTCTTAAGATCTTTGTGACACAAGGTAAGTCAAAATTAGTAAAATTGATTATAAATGAACATATTTCAGCATATAAACCAAGTCTTCCTTGAAACTGTAATAATGTGAGCTAATAATATTATTTTATAGAATGAYCTAATAATTAATGTGAAAACCACAGTTAATACAGATGACACATATGATACTGTACTTTTCCAAAGTAAAGAAATATATTTAATTTAATATTTTTGTCAATCTCATTTAATATCACAAAGTAAACTTTACTGGGTAAAAATATAGTTTTAGATATCAGAAAAAACAAACATGAAAAGATATATGTACTTAATTTAAAAATATTGTCAGACGAGGAAATGTAAATCATTATTTGAATTTGAGAAAATATTATAAAGCAAAGGGCTTTCAAAATACAGAAGATATTCTGAATCAAATGAAAAATCAAGATCATGAAGTAGTGACAACTATGTCTCACATATAACAAACACCGACACATCATGGAGAAAATGAATAGAACTATTTCCTTAAGTAGTGATAAATAGATGACAGAGTTGGCTTTAAAAAAAAAATGCAAGGAACATAGTAAATTAACTTACCACCTCATTAAAATAAAAGTGAGAATAATTCTCTTGGGAGAACTTAAGCACCATTAGCAGACACATCTTATGCCAATTAATGAAATCTTTTGTGTTTCAGTAGAAAACTATTTCAATGGTGAAAATGATGCAGGAATCAGAAGCATATTCTGCTGAGACACTAGGTAGTTGACACTTTCCCGAACTGGAAAAACATTTCATAAGAAGGCATATAAAGTTATTGAGCAAATCAAGTTTGTTGTAAAAATAACCCATGCCTAGTGAAATAGCTTACCAGCTGCCACGACCCTGGGATCCTCATGAGACTGATGCCTCCCAGCTGCACGACTATCTGCACTCTCATTCCACCACAGAACATGAACTGCAGAAATAAACCACACAGTAGTTTTACATTAGTTTTTCTATAATAGTTCTAAATAATAGATCATAGACAATTGTGCATGCTGTAGAAAATTTATATACAAAGAAGAAAACTAAAAACTAGAATCATCTTAATTATCTAGATAAACCTCTGTTAATATATAGTGAAATTCCTTTTAAAAAATGGTGGTACTGGGAATTGAACCCATGAGCTATATCCCTAACCCTTTTTAATTTTTTTTAATTGTTGAAAAATTTTTTTATATCTTTATTTATTTTTATATGGTGCTGAGGATCGAACCCAGTGCCTCACACGTGCAAGGCAGGCGCTCTACTGCTGAGCTACAGTCCCAGTCCCACTTTTTTATTTTTTTAAGACAGGATCTCCCTAAGTTGCTGATTCTGTCCTCAAACTTCAATATTCCTGCCTAAGCCTCCTCAAAACCACTAAGATTATAAGTCTGTGTCACCACAACCAGCAATAATACGATAACTTTCTGTCAATGATATTAATTTAAAAAAATAAATTTTGCCTGCTACATAAAAACATAAAAATGTATACATTAATGGCATATCATGTAATGTTAATATTATTTTCAATGACTATATACATTTCTTCTTATAACATCTTTTTTTACTCCAACTTCAATTGTTGATTATTTAGATTATTCTCAATATTGCAGTATTCTACACAATCTTTTCTCCCAACTTCTTATTGTTGATTTTTAAATTATTCTCAACATTGTAGTATTCTACAAAATGCTAAAATAAATGTTTTTGTACATTATTACTTATAGTTTTTTATAATTAAAAATTTCTTTTTTCTTTGCTACTGGGGATTGAACTCAGAGGCACTTGACCACTGAGCCACATCCCCAGCCCTATTTTTRTTTTATTTAGAGAAATGGTGGATGAACTTTACAATGAGTTGCTTAATGCCCTGCCATTGCTGAGGCTGGCTTTGAACTTGTAATCTTCCTGTTTCAGCCTCCAGAGTTGTTAGGATTACAGGCGTGCATCATCATGCCTGGTTTTATCATTAAAGTTTACTATAATAGTTATATAGCTTTTGGAAAATGAAAGAAGATCATAACAAACATATTTAATCCTACCACTCTGAAACAACCACTTTTCTATTTGGCATATTATTTACATATTTATATGTATGCATGCACTTAATATTTATGTTTCTGTATCTACACYATATATATATATATATATATATATATATACATAATTTATATATATATTTCTAGTTAAGTATTATGAGTTTATTTATTACATAAACAGGGTCAAACTGTGTTATTTCCAGTATTTTTCTACTATAAACAAAGCTGGCATAAACCTCATTAGAGCAGTACCTACATGTATATCTATAATACAAATGTCATTAAGATTAATTATGATTAATATGAATTTGTACAAAATATGAATACTTATTTTTTCCTGACCAAATAGTATATCCATATAAGCACATTAATTAAAATGTGACATCTCAGTATGTCTTAATCTGCATTTTCTTTAACATATAGGTGGTTGTTACTTGTATGTCTACCTTGATGTAAATTTTTATTTTCCTTTTTGCTTTTGAATTTTACTCATGCTGATATGGAGCATGTGGAAAGTTTAGGCCTTTGTATAATAAAGGCATCAAGTTGATATTTTTCCTCTTACATAGTTTTTTCATTTACGTTTTGGCTTAGAAATATAGTCTCCATCCGTATTATTACCAAAATTAATTGATATTTTATTTTAACAATTCTGACTTTTACATTGAATCTACATTCCATTTTAATTTACTTTCATTTTAATACATGGTGGGAGATAGAAATCTAATAATATTCACAATTCTTATCTTCTTCATACATTCCTAATCTTAAAAATACATTTTTAAAAATATATTCTGATTAGTTTCTTTGGACATATGACTAGTCAATTTCTGGGTAAAGATCAGGAGCTCAGCTTTCATTGGGGTAGGCCTGAGATATCTATTGAACATTCAAGTGAAAAGTAGAGGAGGCAATTGGATACAATGGATCTTTCAAATATTTTATTAGCTTTTCTTAATCTTCTATCCAATGGGTGAACTTTACACAGATATTTTAGAGTTAGCCACAGAAAAACCTCTCTGAAATTTTCACTGAAATTATATTCAGCTTTAAGAGTTAAATGCTCCAGATATGCTTTATTAAAATTTGTTTCTTTATATCTATTTTTCTATCTATTTATCTATCTATCCATCCATGCATCCATCTATCATCTATCCATCCATGCTAGAATGTTATGAAGTTATTACCAGTCATAGATATACATTGTTTCTATCCTTCTTATATCTGATAATGTTTTGGTTTTTACATTCCTGATATGTATGCATTATTTTGAAATAATGGGAAATGAGTAATTTTTTCTTTGGGCTTCTCCATGTGTTTAGCATTTGTAAACGTATTTATTAAATTTTCATTCAAAAAATCTCTCTAAACTAAGTAATGTTATTTTGAAAAAAAATCAAGAAAAATATATTTTGAGAAAAAAAGACAAAAATAGTATTTTCTTAAGGATCCTTCCAGTTTATAAATTTTAAACCAACAGAAGAAACACAGATCACCAATGTACATTACACCTCCATAGAAGACATGTACCTCTGTTGAGTGTTCCATATTCTGTGTGGAAAACACCAACTAGTCTTGTGTAGCCTCGATCAACATGGGCATTWATTGCCCTTTTAAATGCATCACCCCACAGAGCTGGGCCACCAGGTTTCATCTGAAAAGTAGCCAGCTCATAGACTCCTAAAATAGGGAAAAAAATAATTATTTTACAGAGGATCTTGAAATAATTTTTAATCAGTTGTGCTTGATTCCAGTAGTGAAGGACTAACACATATATACATCTACATAACCTATATAAACATATATTTATGTCATATTAATTAATTCTTTGCATTATTTTTCCTTGCTTTCATGTTTAGAAAGTTCTTGTCCATGATTAATGGCCACTTGTTAAGTTTAATCAAAGAGAAGAAAAGGAAAAAAGACCAGAAGCTATATACAAAGCTATTATCTAAAATATTTTTAATCTATAAAACTTTGTTGATGCAACAGATATTGAGAATTTATAATGAAGTCAAATTTTGAGTTGCTCAAGTCTATAAGAAAATAAGTTACTATTATGGCATTATGTAAAAATGTGGATGTGTAACCSATGTGATTCTGCAATCTTTGTAATGTTTTGAATAACCAATAAAAAAATAAAAATAAAAATAAAATCCACCTTATAAAACTACAAAAAAAAAAAAGAAAATAAATTGACAAAAGAAGTATTTTGTGATCTCCTATGTTTCCCTCTTTTTAATTTGGAGAGCAGATATTTTATTCTTTGTATATTTTTCCATTACAGAATTCCATTTTAACAGGAATTAGCAAGCAAATGGTTGATCTGAAGTCATATCAGAGAAGACATTCGGCATTTGTTTTTTAGGGATTGGGGGGAGAAAAAGTCTGCAAGAGGATTTTATGATTCCTAAATATCCAAATAATATTGAAAAGTTTTATACCTAGTCACAAGTATAGAGAGGATAGAGACAAAGAAAATAGGGAATGAGAAGATCAGACAATAAAAGGAAAAAAATTCCAGAGTTACTAAAGAATTATGAACAATACAGAGAAAGTTAACTAAAATTTGACAGTACTACAGAAGACAACTATTTTTAGATAGTGCTGAAACCAGAGGGGAAATATAAGTGAATTAAGAATCCCAATAGATGGTTCAAATTTCTTATAATCTAAAATACACTATAAGTTGGCAATAATATAGAAAATAATAAGAAATTTAAGCTAGTTTATGCTTTTCTAATCTGACCTTTGTTTAAAAGTAGATTGAGATAATAGTTTCTTTAAATCAGTAAGAAGTAAAAGCAGCATGAAGACATCTTAAGGAATTATTTTCAAACTGAGAAACTTTCTTTTTTTTCTTTTTTTATTAGTTGCACATGACAATACAATGATCTTGACATATCATACATTTGAATCAAATGGGATAAAATTTCTCATTTTTCTGAGTGTATAGGTTGCAGAATCACATTGGTTATACAGACACGTATATATATACAGCAATACTAGTGTCTATTTTATTCTGCTGCCCTTCCTATCTCCCTTCCCCTCCCCTCCCCTCCCATCACTTCTCTCTACCCAATCTAATGTGACACACTTCTTTTTTTTTTTCCCCCTCACATCATCATACATGTATTTTGTATAACAATGAGGGTCTCCTCCTTCTATCTTCCATGCAATTCCCCTTCTCCCTCCCTTTCCCTCCTACCTCTCCTCCTTATCTAGAGGTAATTTTCTTCTCATGCTCTTCCTCCCAACCCCATTTTGAGTCACCTCCCTTATATCAGAGAAAACATTTGGCATTTGTGTTTTTTAGGGATTGGCTGAGAAACTTTCTTGACACAAAAGTTAGACTACACTAATACAGCTTGGCAGTTTCAGTAAATATATTCTCCCCAGTCAATTTTATGAACAAAGATATACTTAATGATTTAAGATTAGTTGTAATTTGTGAAAAAAAATATTTTTTGCAATACTGGGATTCCATCTGGGGCCTCACACATGATAGGCAAGTGCTATCCCACTGAGCTATATATAGCCCAGCCCTTTCTAAATATTACTTTGAGACAGTGACAGTCAAATTGCCAGGCTGGATTTCAATTTGGGATCCTCCTACCTCAGCCTCTCAAGTAGCTAAGGATTATTGGTTGTGCACCACCATTCCCAGCTATTGAATATATTTTTTACATTTAAATGTTTTATTACTTTGAAATTATAACAAAACTTCATACCCTATTCCTTATTACCTGCCCCCAAAGTGAAATTTCTTAAACTTTAGCAGCTACAGCAATTTTCTACAGTGTAATTAAATTTACCAATCAACAAAAATCTCAATTTGGAAAAAATCTTAATGCTCATATTTTAAGAATAAACAAAAAGGCATAATTTAATTTTATCTCAACAATCAAAGTATGTTACCATAAAATAAAGAATTAGCTTCCTTGTTTGCTAGTGGAACTTCACCTTTTATCACTTAAGATCTTTAATATTTCATTCATCTAAATTCTAAGTGGTGAAGAAGGAAGGTGACTTACCCTCTTTTGGAGGCTTTTCTAATTTGCACCATGGCACCAGGTAAGTAATCTCATTCTCTTGCTTATCAATGAGAGCCGAATTTGGAATGAGGAATTGTTCTTGCCATTCCTTATCTTTAGCCAAGGCTTTCCGAACTGCAGTTCGATGAGCAAAATTCTCTATGGGAGACAAGAATTAAGAAAAAGAAACATTTACAACTTAAAATCTCCTATGCTTCTCTGGATTTCATCCAAATCATCAAACATTCACCTGTAGCATAGAGGAACACTGTTATGCTTTTGGATATACTAACATGAGGAGATGTGACATCTGTCCTCAAATTGCTCATGGGCTTATGGGGAATAGAATTGCAAATGACTAGTATAATGTCACAGAATTGACTTCATAGGTTCTATGACTTTGCAGGAGGAAGTTTTTGTATCCTTCTGCATTCAGTTTCTTAGTCTGTGTAATGGAGAGAATGTAACATTGCCCTCCAGGCTTGTTATGAAGGTTAACTGAATTAATACACAAAAAGAGCTTAGAATAATGCTTAGCATCTAGTTAGTTTCAATATTTGTGGAATATTCTTATTAATTCAATTGAGGCATTTAACTGATAGTGCTAGTTCAGAGAAAGAAGATTTTTCTTTCGTGGTGGCAGGTGCTCAGGTCAAGGTACACCTTGAATCAAATTACAATAAGTGAAATTAAAATGTATTTGGTGAGTCTCTTCTCCTTTGAACAAAGAGCCTTCAAAGAAATAGTGTTGATTCTCTTACTTATTACCAGCCATTTCCTCCCCCCGCCAGCACTTACTTTTCTTCTGAGTTATTCCAACAGGTATCGACGTTTAYCCACATATGGGCCTAGTACTGTATTTACTATGAAGACCTTATAAGACTAATGATAAGAGTTTTATATGGTTTATGATGGTGATAAGAAATAACATCTATCTCACAGCTTAATTGAGGTAGATCAGGACTTCATTAGTTTTCTTAGTGGACCATGATTTAACTTGTAGCAYATCTAAAGCACAAGTTGTGTTTTAATGGGGCTTGTTCTGTTACAATAGGTAAAAATCCTATATGTGCCCATGATAAGTGTAGAATGAATATATTTTTATAATAAAATATTTTATGAATATTAATTTGGGCACTGATCAAATAAACCATTCCATTTTTTTATGAGAATAGAAGTTTACCATATTATGATTTATGACACAACAAGTTCTCATTCATAATAATTGAAGAATTTGAGCCAGAGGTTGTTAGAGATGGATCAATGGAAGAAGTAATCACTAAATACACAGACACACACACACACACACACATAAAGGTGTCATATATTTTAAAAGATTTACTTAACCTGTATGTATCGCTAGTAATATAAATCCAAGAACTAAGTCTTATACTCATGTAACATGGAATGCAATGAAAATCTGTACTGAACACTTAACCAGGATGATTCATACCATACTTCCAAATGTGAAACACTTTATTTATTCTGCCTCCAAATTCTACACTCCAATATCCAACCAATTCAGAGTGAGCTGTCCGAAGATGCACATTTTTCTTTAAGTTTTCTAGGAACTCATTCGTCTTTGAGGGTTTAAGAGAATAGGTACGAAATTCATAGAACATTCCATCATTTTGTCTGGGGCCTGTAGCAAAAGATGAGCACACCTGAAGAAAGATAAGGCAAATTTAAAGATTTTGGGAAAGGTAGGATGTATCATGTTACAAAACAAGCAGAACATACAGCTACTCTTTCCTGGCAAGGGTTCACAAACTTAGCCACTTTTCCATGAGAAATTGCTTATATGAAGGCATTGGTATCAATGATACTTCTGTACTGGAGAACTACAATTGAAATTCACATAAATTTACAGTTTTCCTTAGTTGGCCAATATTCCATTTTTACTTGGTAGTATATGTGCTAGTTATGCATCTGAAAGAACTTTGTAAATTCAGTATGTATGTCATTTGGCAGGCACAATGAAATGTTTACTAGAAGACCTTTTAAAAAGTGGAAATTGCCACACATCTGTAATCCCAGCTGCTTGGGGAAGCTGAGGCAGGAAGATGGTGAGTTCAAAACCAGACTCAGCAAGTGAGGTGCTAAGCAACTCAGTGAGACCCTGTCTGTAAATAATACAAAATAGGACTGGGGATGTGGCTCAATGGTTGAGTGCTCCTGAGTTCAATCCCTGGTACACCCCCCCCCAAAAAAAAAAATGGAAATTGCTATTTAGGTCAAAGTATTTGCTACATTCAGTGAATTAAACCATTGGTCAAAAATGTAGAAGGTGCTATGTGTTATTCAATTAATGGTAATATAGTGGTGGGCTGTATGAATGCTGAAGAAGAAAAATTCAAGATGAATTGTATGACTCATTATTAGTTTCTAATGACAGATGCAAAGTGAAGCACATTTAATGCATCAGTCATACCAGTTTGATGGACACATCCCCTAAGAGCCAGTAGTTCCTTTTGTAATAGTAATGTGCTCAGTATGAAAATCTCTAATTCGTGTTGTCAGTGAACTTAATATACATTAGGGCACATCTTGCCATAAATTATCCTGTATATGTATATGTCTATATACATACATATGTGTGTATGTATATATATATATATATATATATATATGCACATTCATATGGCACATATATATGTACATGTGTATATACATGTATATATGTATATAATATATACACATATATTATATACATACACACACGCACACATATATGCACATTCATATGGCATTCTAGTTTACAAATACATGTTATGTAGGTTTCACTAGCCTGAACTACGTACACCAGAAAAATCTTTTAAAACAGTTTTGGTACCCACAAATCTACAAATTAGGATTGACATTTATAACTTTGTATATCCATTTTTTTTGCTCTGATTTTTTAAAAAAAACTTTATTTTATTATATGGTGCTGAAAGTCGAACCAGTGCCTCACAGATGCTAGGCAAATACTCTACCACTGAGCCACAACCCCAGCCTCTGCTCTGATACATTTATTTACAAAACACAATAGCATATGGGTTTCATTTAATTGTATATAAGGATTAATATCAACATCTCACTTGAATTCATTCCACTCATGTCTATTAGGAGTTATAGTCATATGCATAAAATGACTGTTTGCCATCAAACACAACTGCAGCTGGTCTTGTTTGGTGGAAATTCTGTACTTTTAAACCAAATTATAATAACAGAATGTTAGTGGAACAAACAACTTTTGTCCACAGTTTAAAAAATATGATAAATAAAATGTCAAAAATGAACCAATAGGACATAAGGCACTACACATTTTAGGTTGGTTAGTGAATTTCTATTTGGAAACAGTTATTCAAACACACACTAAAGTATAATCTTTCTCAGGAGAATGTGTATGTGTGTGTGTGTGTGTGTGTGTGTGTGTGTGTGCATATATACGTATTTATACACACTTATACACACACAGAGTAGAGAACCTGCATTGAGGTAAGGGGCTTGGCTGGGGAATGACGTCATTTCCTGATTTTTGCTGCAGGACTAAAACCGTGCTGGGGCAGAAATCATCAGTGCTTCATACTCCCTTTAAGTTAGGACTCATTCTTCCGAGCAATGACTAACAATCCACTGAGTACCTTTGTAGAAATGTAAAGTTTAGCATAATCTGCTCTAATGCCATCCATTTCCCTCCAAATTCTATGATTTTGTCATTTTTTAATGCAGAGTAATACTCCATAGTATATAAATGCCACATTTTTTTTATCCATTCATCTATTGAAGGGCATCTAGAAGAAGATTTACATTAAACAGGGATGAGAGGTGGGAGGGAAAGGGAGTGAGAAGGGAAATTGCATGGAAATGGAAGGCGATCCTCAAGGTTATACAAAATGTCATATAAGAGGAAAGGAGGGGCAAGACAAGATAATACAAATGGAAGTAATGATTTACAGTAGAAGGGGTAGAGAGAGAAAAGGGGAGGGGAGGGGAGGGGAGGGGGGATAGTAGAGAATAGGACAGACAGCAGAATACATCAGACACTAGAAAGGCAATATGTCAATCAATGGAAGGGAAACTGATGTGATACAGCAATCTGTATACGGGGTAAAAGCGGGAGTTCATAATCCACGTGAATCAACCGTGTAATATGATGTATTAAGAACTATGTAATGTTATGAACGACCAATAAAAAAAACACAAAAAAAAAGAAATGTAAAGTTTAATTAAAGTTGTAAGGAAATAAATTGTTGGCCCTGCTCCACCTGAGAGAACCAATAGGATAGAGACTGCATTGTTAGGCAGGTGAGGTGGCCCATGCCTGTAATCCCGGCGACTCCATATTCTGAGGCAGGAGGATAGAAAGATGGAGGCCAGCCTCAGCAACTATGTGGGACCCTGTCTCAAAACAAAAAATTAAAAGGGCTGGGGATGTACCTCACCGGTAAAGCGAYCATGGGTTCAATCCCCAGTACAAACAAAACAAAAATCTGCTTCTCCTTTCCCATTGTTTTTGGAAAGGAATTTTAAGCCTAAACAAGGAAAGGAAAACAATCTCGACGATAAATCCACTGGACCACACACAACAAGCCGATTCCCACAGTTCAGATCCAACCCCTGGCTCCTTTTTGGACCTTTCTCATCAAAGGCTGAAGCAGGTCACGTTTGAGGGTCTTCAGGCTCCAGCCCCTGCAAGACACAGGGAGGGCGGCACGATGCCCCACACTGGGACCCTGGCCCAAGGTTCTCGGCAAAATGCTCGCAAGCTGCGCACTTCCTTTCAAAGGTGAAGGCTGGTCGGGTCGCCAGCGGTTGGTGGTCCTCTCCCGCACCTTTAGTGTGGACCGAGCGAAGACTTGTCAAACCCACACCTACGCGAGGCCCACRGCTACATGGCCCCGCCTCGAAGCAGCGAGAGCTCCGGGAGCCGCTGCCGCCAAGGTGCTGGCGGCAAAATCCAACCGCCAGTGCTTTGGGAGCGACTCTGGGGCTGCTTGGCTCCCATGACAGAAAAGACTTCTGTCCACCGGGTAGACGACTYTGACCCAAGGGATCCCTTTTCCTCCGTGGCCGCCGCCCCGTATCCACTAGGCAGAGCCGCGTCCGGCGCGCGCGTGCGTGGGACTCGCTTACCAGCCCCGCTTCCGCCCTGGCCCCACCCCGCCCCACTCGGAAGCTCGGACGCGCCCCCCGGCCCCCCCCCCCCGGCGGCCGGTACCTGAGGCGCGAGCGTGCGTGCGGTCAGAGCCCGGGCCAGGACGCTTCGGAGGGGCAGCATGGTGCGGCGYGGGGCGCTGAGGAAGGCAGCCAGCTGGCGTCCGACGTGAGACTCTCCTCGTATGGCTTCCTGACTGGAAGGGCACAGCGAAGGGACAGTTAGAGGGCGTAGGCTGGGGCGGGACTGGCGCGTCAGCTCCGCCCCCGCCCTGGAGGTGCACCCCGGGGGCCAGTGTGCACGAGTGTGGYGCCAGCCCTGATCCAGTATTTCCCCTGTGTTTCCACGACAGTTCTTGCCTCAAACGTCAGAGTTGATGTTGCGGTAGCTGAAAGCGGAGTTCGTACTGTTCCACCTTCTGGTCTGTCGCCTCCTCAGAGCCCTGTTGTGCAAATGTTCCTGGTAGAGCGCGTGYGTCTATGAGTAGGAAGGTGCTGTATGGATGCCTGCAGGCTTTGCATTTAAAATCATGATTTTTTTTTTTTTTTTGACAGAGAGCAGAGCTGGGAGCCTTCGCTTKTCTTCACTGCAGATATTCTCCATCCCACTTGCCAGGCCACCATGGCTTTGAAGAGATTCAGATTAGTTTTTTATGCACTTAGAGGAATGGGGGCACTGAAACTGGTTAATTTCAGCATACATAGATTGAGATGAAATAATTCAGTAAGACTCAATACAGTCAACCTCTCATGTGGTCCTGTCTATGTAATTATTGGTTCCTATAGTAACTATTTTATGTTTTAAAGCTGTTTCCTCTAATTCGTGTTTCTATCTTTATCAAATAGGCATATTGTAGTGCTTCATAATTTTTCAGTTGTAAATAATGTTACAAGGCACCTGCCTGCTGAGAGACTGTCAGCTGGGAACACCTCTGGATTCTTGCATTCAAGCCATAAAGACACCTGTCACTCTGAGTGATCAGCATGAGTTTATTAGAAGGGATAGGAAAAGGGGATACTCTCAAGGAAGAGAGGGGGTCCGCTCAGAGAGAAGGATGGCTTGCTCTTCCAGTCTTCTGGTTTTATTGGGGGGTCCTAGGGAAGTTTTCAGAAAGCCTGGCCTAGGTTCATCGCTTGACTTTTGACTGACAGCAGGATGACATCAGACTTTCAAGTCTCCATTGCACATGACAACTCTAGATTACTTTGGCTCATGCTGACTGGTTTGTTTAAGAGTCACAAAAGCTTTCCCCTCTACCCTGCCAGGCAGGGTTGCAGGTAAATTTTTTCTTGGGAAGCATGTGGGGGTCAGCATAGTGGGCTCACCGCTCACATATGTCTGTTCCATATCCATAGTATCTATTGATTTGTAAGATAAAGATTTAGATTTCTTCAAAATACACTTCTTTTCCCATGTTTACTAATGTTTACATTAAAAGTAATTCTTTGATTGTCACATTAATGTACTTCAGTCTATATTATGTTTATATTTACTAACAGTTATATAGTACACATGTTGTAATAATATTGTTTAGGTCATTAGGACTACAGAATTACAGAGTTATCTCATTGTATAAGTTGTGTTTTTTGGGAAGGGCTTTTGAGTCATCTCTTCAGTGGAAAGGATCCTTTATAAAATTATTAATTCTGGATGTGTTGCATCAGTTTTCCCGGAAGAGAAGATCCATTTTTAACCAAGCAAGACTAAATAATGCATTGTTTGTCAGAACTGGATCTAGATGATTAAATTTATTTCCAATTAGCAATTTGATTAACTATCCACTCACTAATTCAATGAATAGTTAATAAATTCCTTCTGTGCTTCAGGCCTTTTTCCAGATACTGTGGTACTGAAGGAAACAAAAGTCAAAGTTCTAATACTTTGGGGTCATATAGGGTGGGGGAAGAGAAAATATATCAGGGATTAATAAATATCCAATATAGTAGGATATAGGGCAATTAATTCAGTCGGATATGGAGAATAGAAAGTACCAGAGGAAGATAGCAGAGACTGCCAACTATTTCTCAATATCCACTCTTCCCTCACACTTTTAAAAAGATGAGTAATAGAATACTTAGCTTACTGAGGCTGTATGATAGAGTCCTGACCAGGGGGAAGTGTTAGTGCATTAATGACCTGTAAGTGATCTAAAGGGGTGCAGGAGAGAAGAGTTGTTCCTTCCTTATTTATTTTTTTTTTTTTGCTACTACATAGGCATAATGGCTTGAGTCCTTGGCCTACAAGATAGAAGGCAAATGCTGTTGATGATGGAATAATAGAGGAGCAGTTTAGGTTTCTTATACCATGAAGCATTAGGAGTCCTGAACTTCTCTCCTTTGGATTTCTTTTACAAGGAAATCACCTTCTAGTTTAAGCCACTGTTGTATGTCTTAAACATGTACTTTATTTTTTTWAATTTTTTATTATTTGATTTAATTAGTTATTCATGACAGTAGAATGCACTTATATACTTTGATGTATCATACATAGATGGGATATAATTTCTCGTTTTTCTGAGTATATATATATTGTAGAATCATATTGGTCATACAGTCACATACATTCATACATACAGTAACAATGTCTGTTTCATTCTACTATTTTTCTTATCCCACATCCCCTGCCTTCTCCTCCTTTCACTTCCCTCTACCTAATATAAGGTAACATTATTTGATTTTTTGCATTACAATTCTTAATACTCATAAATACCACACTTTTTGTATTTCTGTTTGTATATAAAGTATGTTGACATCCAATTTAAGTCTTCATACGTGTACTTTATATAATGATGTCCATCACATTCCACCATCCTTGTTCATCCATGTACTTTAAATGAGAGGATGAATATTTCTTCTTTCTCTTTCTCTCTTTTACTTATTTGCTTATATTCTTTTTTTATACCTATCATTTATTAATCACTAAATTCTGTGCTAAAGTCATAAATTTTCTCTCACCATGATTAAACCCATTCATCAGTTTATCATTTTGATACTCTGGAATTAACATCTCAGGACTCCTACTTCTCTTGCTTCAGGGTGGACTAGTTATTTAAGATGGTATAACAGAGATTCAGGGATCTCCTTTTACTGTGTCCCAGGGAATTTAATTTTCCTTGTATTGTACCACCATTTCAGGCTCTTATATTTCCCTATGTCCAAATTTTAGGGGAGGGTACATAGCAATTAAACTTTTGAAACTTGCGTCTCTAAAATTATCTTTATTCTGCCAAATTTATTCATGGTTTGGAAATTCTACACTAGAAATCTTTTGTCCTCATATTTTTAAGGCAATGCTTCATTGATAGATTCTAGTGAGAAATTCATGAAATTGTTTCTTTTTTAAAATAATTTTTAAAATTTAATTTTAATTTTAATTGTTATATATGACAGCAGAATGCATTACAATTCATATTACACATATAGAGCATAGTTTTTCATATTTCTGGTTGTATGCCAAGTAGAGTCACACCATTCGTGTCTTCATACATGTACTTAGGGCAATGATATTCATCTCATTCCACCATCATTTTTTACCCCCTTGCCCCTTCCCTTGCCCTCCCTCCCCTTTGCCCTATCTAGAGTTCATCTAATCTTCCCATGCTCCCCATCCCAACCCCACTATGAATCAGCCTCCTTATACCAGAGAAAACATTTGGCATTTGTTTTGGGGGGCTTGACTTCACTTAGCATTATTGAAATTGTTTCTTATTCTCAATGGGAGTTGATGTGTCTTGGAGGAGGTTTATTTTTTTCCTTAAGGTACTAACTGACAAATCTAACGGTGGGTATAAGAGATACGATTATGAAGTCATGATGAGCATAAAAGGAATTCAAGTGTACTTGTTACAACTACAAGTTAGAATTTGACAATATCTATGATTTTTATTGGCTAAAATGTCACAGGTCTTGTAGCTCATTGCCTCTCTTCATACATAAAGGAAATGCTTAATTTCAGATAGAAGTTGGTGACACTAAAGATGTAATTTTTAACCGTCGAGGTTAACAGACCCTTTGAGTTCTGTCAGTACTGTCTCTTGAGTTCTGTGTACTGGAGATTACAAACCTCTTCACTAGAGTACATATGCAGCAGAGGAAATCCTGGACCATAAGTTATGTGCATATTCATCTTTACCAAATAGTGACAATACGTTTTGTAAATTTATACTCTTATTGGAAGTGATGAAGTAATTATTTTTTTAAAGAATATTGTCTTTTAATATATTTATCTTGTTCATTTATTTATTTTTTTAATGTGGTACTGGGAATAGAAACCAGTGCTTCACGCATACTAGGCAAATGCTCTACCATTGAGCCCCAGCCCTAGCCCTGAAGTTATTATTATTTTATAATAAGAACAAACTTTATTGCCCATCTGGGCTGATGAATGTGAAGATACAACTTTATGTCTCATTACAAATAGGCATGACTGCAAGGTGACGGAAATTATGACGTGGCTTAGGGTGGTGATAGTGCTCCTGCTTGGTTTTGTCCAAAGACTGAGCTCATGAAGCTGTGCAGAAGAAAGCAGGAGAGGTAGATCCAATGCTGGCCCAGCTGAGTAGGAAGGTAGCAGCTACAGGTCAATTATAGATGCTGCATCTGGTGCTGCATTCCTGGAGACTTGTCCCCTCTCCCCCACTTCTCTATTCTGCAGCTACCAAATGGCGGCACAGACTACTGTTCCTTCCACTAGGTGTTAAACTGTGCACACATCTATTTTTGAGTTCCTTTAATTTAAACAATATTTATTTAAATTTAGTGGAGATAATTTAATAGTTTTGTGATACTTACACAAGTATCAGAGAAGAAATTTCAGTAAAGGTTGAGTTACTATCATAATGTTTATGGGTTGCTTTTTAATTATTATTACTATTAAAAGGCACTTATAATAAAACTCAGTTTCATTCAGGATTCCTCAATAACTGTCCTACTCCTGTCACCAAATATTTGCTAATTGTCTTTGGGGTGTTGAATATTGAATGAAATGCTGTGTAGAAGGATAAAGACCAAATCTTTCCTCTTGAATTTGCCAATACCTGTTTTTATTTATGTCTTAGCCTATTTGCTGATATCCTTATTAGAATCAGTGGTAGGAAAGATTCATGAGCATCTTAATATTTAACTATAGTATACATTTGTTATTGTTTCTATCAATAAAACAAAATATCTTTAGCACTAAAATACATTTATATATCCATTTGATATATTCATTACATTCTTTGAAGATTT